AAGCCATTATCCGAAACATTGCCTTCAGTTGGCCCTGTGTTTCGGATATGCGTCTTTTTAAAGAACACAGGTCTTTCAGCTGAAGTCAACTTCAGTAAGACTTGTTCTCCAAAGACATGAGTCCATGGACAATTCTGGGATATTTCCTTAACTGAGCCTTGTATCCCAGAAAGCTAATATCCGAAGCATTGCCTTCAGTTGGCCCTGTGTTTCGGATATCCAATTTTCAGCTGAAGTCAATCTTCAGTAAGACTTGTATTCCAGAAGCACTGCCTTCAGTTGGCCCTGTGTTTCGGATACCCATTTTAAAGAAGTGAAGAAATTGTTTATTCAGCTGAAGTCATACTTCAATTTCTGGGAGGGCAAGAAGCACTATCAGTGCAAGTTTATGTTCGGCAGAATGAAAGAAACAGTAAAGCATTAAAAAACAAAGCAGCTGAAGAAAAGAGCATCAAATAAATAATTTATGCTCAGAAATTGAGCTACAAGTTCAATTAAGCTGTATCGGCAGCCGCCCACAAGCGGAAAATAACAGCTGCCGAAATACGTACATAAGCAAAAAAATAAATTGTTGTACGACAAGGCAAGCTGAAGCAAAAAACAAGGCAAAAAATTCAGAAAGCGGCAAGTCTAAAGTTAAGCGCATGATGAACCGCAAGATTCTAAAGACGACTGCCCGAGTTCCTATGCTTCAGCCCGAGGATCAGACTGATCAGCATTGTTGAGCCCCATGGTGGCCTCAGCCCCAGCAGCAAAAGAAGCAAGCTTTGCACTCTGCCGAGCCTCCCTTTCCCTCTGTTCAGCCTCCAACTCCATTCTCTCAGCTTCCTCTTCGGCTTCCTCAGCCTTAAGAATTTCAGCTTCGACTGGAGTTGCATACTTCATATGAGGGTCTTCGGGATTCTGGACCCATTCAGCACATTTGGACCAGTCCAGCTTCGGCTCAGCATGAAGGCAGACTCTTCGGCATACTCTGAACCCGTTTCTGAAACCCATTTCGTATTCTTCCTGGGTATAGACACGGACTTTGAGTAGAGCCTCAGCATCAGCCAGCTTCTTCTGGGTCTCCTCCAAGTCTTCCTTGGATTTCTTCATCTCATCGGCGAGCTTGGAGGAGGAACCTTTCAGCTCATTCAGCTCCTGCTGAACTTGGGAAGCCTTTGTCTGAGCCTGGGCCACTTCAACTTTTTTGGCCATCAGTTGATCCTCAGCCTCATGGAGATTAGCTCTCTAACCTTCAGCAGCAGCAGCAGCTTCTGAGAGTTGGACATCTCTGGCCTGGAGCAGCTCTTCAGCAGCCATTCGGCTGTCTTCAAGAGCTTCTAGTCGTTGCTGCACTTCAGCTTGTGCAGCAGCTCCTTCCTGAATACGGCTCTCAACGGCAGCCTTGAATTTGGAGACGTCCACTCCCATGTGCTCCTGGAGGAATTTTTCCCCTTCCACCAGTGGGGGAAAAACTTCCTTCTCCATAGCGTCGCAGAAGGTTTTGAGGGCTTCAGCAGCTTTTTTCTCGTACTCCTCACCCTTCTGCTGCTTCTCTTCAGCTGCTGCTTGCTTCAGCTTAGCAAGCTTTAATTCCTCCTCAGCTACCTTCTTGTCGTGCTCGGCAGCATCTACCCTATCTTGTAGGGTATCTATCAGCTCTACAGTGAGAGTCTGATTGTGCACGAACTGAAAACAGGAGCACAAGTTAAAAAAAAAAATAAAGGTAAATAAAAATAGAGCTGAATTTTAGAGGAAATAAAGGCAAGGAAAATCACCTGCATCATCAGCAGTTGGTTAGACCTGGCTGGGTCAGGAACTTATCTGCTGGATTCGCCCATCCCGGCAGTGGCCTTCAGCGACCAGATTCTTGCCCTATCTACTTCGGACATGCCAGCAAAATCGCCGAAGTAGGCTGCAGCACCTTCACGGTTCTGACCCCATATGAGGTCCCAGATGTGATCTGGGATTGGAATTCGGGGGACCGAGAAACCCATTTCTCCAGATTGCAGAGTCTGGAAAGAAGGAAAGGATGACGATGGAGCTTCTTTAGCTTTGGATGACTCAGCATCATCCTTCTCAGAAGAGTCAATTACTATGACCTCTTCTTGTTCAGGGGTGAGGACGAAAGCCTCAACCTCTCTTGCAATGTCTGCCGTGAAAACCTCAGCACTGGGCATCACGGCATCCTTATTTTTGTGCTCAGCAGCACTCTCCTGAATTGCTTCTTGGACCCCTCCCTTAGATTCGGGAGTTCTCTGATCCACCTCCATCTCAGGAGGTGGCGGAGGGGTCTTTTGAGGTGATTGGGGTGGTGGCCGGGGAACCCTCGGCGATCCATTGCCTTCCTCGGGTTCCCTTATTGCAACGCCGATGGTCATCGGCCTCCGCTGAAAGTCATGAGGGCCGATGATGGCCATTCTTCGGCGCCTTTTCTGAAGAGGCTGCTCGTCCATGTCTGAGTCTGAAGACTCTTCTTGTATTTGATCTTCGGGACGAACAGGGGCTTTCCCTTCTCTGTGTCTGTTACTCTCTTCAGACTGTAACAGACAGGGGGAAGGAAGAATGTGAGTACGAAAAAAAAAAAAAAAAAAAGAAGAAAGAAGAAAGACAAAGTTAAGTCTGAAAGCTCACCGAGGTCTTCAGCAAAGCCTCGTCTTCTTCAGCTGCCCTACCTTCTTCAGCAGCTCTGGAGGACCCTTCTCCTCCTTCGCAAGCTTCGAGAACCCGTGCAACCTCTTCGGCTGTACGGGCAGCTTCAGCTTCTTCGTCCAGCAGCTGAAACCAGGGGTCTCTCTTCTTCCACCAAGGCTTCTGCCTCTGATACAGAGCAACAACCTCAATTTGGAAGTGGGAAGAGTCTAGATGAACTTCCCTATGCCTCGGTTCAGTGATAGACGGGGCCCGATCAGTTACAACTCGTTCTCGGTTGACACCAAGACGAGCGTAGTTAATGCCAACGTTGGTCTCGTCCCGCTCTGAAAAAGAAAAGGGGAAAGGTCAGTTCAGATAGGTTGGCACAGCATAAAAAAGCGAAGTGAGAGAAGAAAAAGAGATAATTAAAAAGCCTCGGCCCCAGCCGAAGAAGCTTACCATCCTTAAACTTTCGGCTGAGGACAACAGCTGCTAGCATGTTCTCTTGGAAAACATAATGCGTATCGGGGAGCCAAGTCTCCGGGATATGCTGCATTCGGCCGCTGCCCCCCCCGGTTCGGCAGCTTGCCGAAGATATGTTGTTGATCAAGGTTCGGATCCGGCCCGTTATCTGCGGGGGGACCTAGACTTCCCATGTCGGGATCAGGCTCAGCAAGGTACCGGGGAGCGCTGAAGACGCAAGGGTGGCCCGGATCTGTGGGTGCCCTAACCCAAATCCATTGACCTCTCCAGTCCTTGTCTGAAGAGTCGTTCGGCCACATGGTTAGGTACTGGGGCCGGGACTCAATCCGGTACCACCCAGAACCATGGCTTCCGTGCCCACTTTGAATATTTGGCACTAGCCGATGAAGCTTTTTGAAGCAGTGCAGGTTCGGCACATACTTGAAGAACTTGCAGACCCATAAGTATGTCATCACCCTTCGGATGCTGGTGGGAGTTAGCTGACATAGGGAGATATTGTAATGGATCAGCAAGTCTCGGACGAATACGTCCAAAGGGAACCTCAGCCCGTACTGAAGATGTCTTGTGTACACCCCCACATACCCCGGGGGTGGACGATGGATTCTATCGGATGCCGCGGGCATTCGGCACCAATACCCATCAGCTTCAAAAATGCCGTAATGCAACTCAATTTGCTCGGCAAACCGATATTGTTCGGCATTCTCCACCCACCATGAGTAGGGGCGGTTCTTTATCATGGCCGAAGCTACTTCGGCATTCTCCCACTCTGAAAACCCGGGGAGGATATCCCAAAGGACAGCGGGAACTTCATCGTCCCGTCCAGAAGCGCTCGGCCCCTCCGTTCTCTGAGGAGGAGCCGAGGAAATTGGAGTCGCCCTAATCCCTTCAGCAGGGTCAGACTCTGGCCTTTGTCCATTCCAAGTCCCAATCCTGTTCCTAGGATCGGGAATTGGCCTTGCTCTTCTTGGAGCACGGGCTCTACCTCTAACTCCTCTTGCCATTGATTATTTCGAAGGAAAAAGTCGAAAAAAAAGGGAAGGAGTTCGAATTCGAAGAAAAATAAACTGAAATCAAAGGAATTTACCTTAATCTGAAGCGAAAGTTGCCGATTTACGAGTTCGTAGTGGCAAGTCTCAGTTTCTAAGCTTAATGCTCGGGGAATTTGCGAAGTTTTGATGCGGGTTCTTGGTTTCTCTCGAGAATTCTGGGTTTGTGTTGGTGAATAAGTGAGGAGAGATGACGCGCCTCTGTTTATATCTCCAGGAATGGGATACGAGGAGTCCGCGTTTCAATTTCTCTTAAATACCCCACTAAGTAACCGTTAAACACACGACCTTGCGATTAAACTGCCCATTATCCGTCCAACTTCCACCATCATCCGCCTTAACCGTTGTTATCTCATTAATTACGGTTTAAATTCAAATTTTTGGATTAATTAAATAATTTACTTCCCTCCTTTTCTGAATTAAATCAAACCCGACCCGTCATCCTTCCAAATCGGGTCTGGGGGGCAAGTTGTTTGGGTCCAATTTAGTCCAATTGGGCCTAGGCATTAAATGATCCAATTAAAAGCCCAAGGTCAAGGTTCAACTCTCCAATTGTGCTAAAGTCAAAGGTCAGCCCTCAAAGCAAGCCAATTGGGCTAAGGCCCAACTTCTCCATGTGTGAAGAGGTATAAAAGCCATCAATATTCATACATTCATATATAGATTCATATATTCTCATATATTCAAGAAAAGCCTCAAGCAACTAATTCTCTTGCATAGTGTTCTCTTTCTACACATTGTACTGACTTTAGCATCGGAGGGGCCTTCCTCGGCAACACCCCCGAGGCTAGTTTACGTGTGTTTACTGTGCAGGAAACCTTCGGCCCAACATAACTTGGACCGAATCCAGTCTTCTCCGTTTCAGCGGACCTTCGGCAAGGTCCCATTGTTTTCACCCGAAACAGTAACGAATAAGAAAGGTAAACATAACATTCATCTTTATCATCCGCACCAACTTCAGCTTTGCTCCCTACAACACAAATCAATCATGATCGAGTCAATAACAATAATAACACGGGGATGCCCTAGTTTCTCATAGTTGTTTTTGACATTTTCGTAAATAAATCAACAATTTCATTCAATTGTGAAGCCCACAATAATGAAAAACTTGTTGATTTATTCCCGAGAAACATTAAATTTCCTTAACAATACACGATATCGATATGATACGATTGATATAGTAATAAATTTAATATATACAAACCTTGTGATGGTTATACTTATCGATTGCTTCACGGGCTAATTCGGCGTGAGATTCCACATCATCAACTGCCCCTAAACCACCACAAACTCTTTCATCGTAGTTGTACTTTATCGGATCATCAAAATTCTGAAAATTCATCAATTTATAGAATATCATCAATCATCAATCAATTAAATAAATAAATACAGGAATTGCAAGAAATTTAAATTTAAACATACCTCAAGGTTGTATTTGAGGTGACAATCAACAAAGAAGCCGGTGAGATTATAGTAAGCGAAGTGGTCTTTCAATTGTGAAATCAATTCAAGAGCATCAACTTGAATAGTGCAGGCGTCAGAAACATCAATCACAACATCTTTGAACTTGTTCATAATTTCAATGTAATTCAAGGCGTGCAATTCACGATTCTTGGTAGAGAGATTAATTTTCTGGAACAAATTCTTCAAGATCTTCAACTCATTGTCATAATCACTCTATTCCGCATTCGACAATTCATCATTATCATACGCGTATTTCCTCAGAAATTCATCGAATCCGTCTTCTTTACCTTCATCATTATCATCCACGTATTTCATCAAGAAATCATCAAATCCGTCTTCATATCTTTCAAATTCTTCGTATGTTCTACGCTCAACCTCCATTGATTCAGAATTTCCACACTTTCACCAAGCCCTAATTGTTTTTTCGATTGAAAATTGTATCCAGTCTAAACCTAATTTTTTGTGTTTTTGAAACCGTCTCGTCTAAACCAAATCTTATTCGCTTTCCTATTTTTATAGTACTCAGATGAAAATAGGTCGGTTATAAGGATATACAATTCTACAAGGATTACAGCTCTAGGATATGATTTACCGTTTTGTGAACTGCTAAACATCGCTCCTATTTTTACATGAATGGACAATTTTACCCTTTTTTTAAAGTGTAATATAAAATGGTCCATGACTATTATTATATCATACCGTCCCCTCTAATTTGTACCACGTGAATCCCGAACCCACCATATCGGTCCCCACGACATCCAACCCCACTTTTTTCGATCCACCACCAAAAAATCGCTTTTTTTATTAAAAAATTTGTCAAGTTTTTTTTTTTAATTTTTTATTTTCTGGAAATTTGAGATCTTCCCAAAAGAATAGGTGGATCCGCCTAAAATTTCCGGATCCACCTAGGCAGATTCGGAAATTTTAGGCGGATCTACCTAGGTGAATTCTAGTATTATTTTGGGCAAATGTTTGTTTTTCCATTATTTTTTTTTTTGAGTTTTCAATTAATTAAATTTATTAATTTGGTACTCTATATATATTAGAAAGATTACGTACTCCTTAATAATTCTTTCTTTTATGTTGTTGTCACTAATAACTAGGGGTGGGACTTCGGTCTGGCGGTTCGGTTTGACCTCGGTTTGAGTCGGTTTCGGTTTGGAGCGGTTTGGATTGAAACGGTTTAGTTTAGCTGGCGGGTCGGTTTGGTTCGGTTTGGGTTAGTCACGGCTCGGTTTGATTTCGGTTTATTTCTTTGCGGTTCAAATTCGGTTTGGGTCATAAGCGGGTCGGTTTATAAACGATTTGGATTATGTCGGTTCGGTTTGATACGGGTTGGTTTAGGGGCCGGGTTTACCCGGGTCAATGTCAGTTCGGTTTACAAACGGTTTGGATCAAGCCGGTTTGGTTTGAAGGTTTAGGGGCGGGTTTACCCGGGTCAATATCGGTTCGGTTTATAAACGGTGCGAATCATGTCGGTTCAGTTTGAAATGGGCCGGTTTAGTGGAGGGTTTACATAGTTCAATTGGTTCGGTTTATGAACGGTTTGGATCATGTCGGTTCGGTTTATAAGCGGTTTGGGTCATGAATTCATGATTGTTTTAAAGATCGCGTCATGACCATGATTTAATGAGTTGATACTTATAATACGATAAATCGATAATTAAGAATGTACAAGTATTCAATTAGATTGATCAACAAGTGTTTTAAACTTTTAAGTTTTAATAATCAGATATGTAAATATGTTTATCGATTGTAGTACATACCAATAATTCAATGAGGCAATGATACTTATGATAGTATGATAATGATACCAACCGTACATTCGTACGATATGATATACATAATAATTAATCTATAATTACATATACATTAACAATATTGTATTGAATCAATTTCCATTTCCAAACATTGCATTTCTTATAAATTATAACTTACACGAGATTAAATGGATTCGTTATTTAGTTTGTTACTTTATTTAGATTACTAACTCAAACAACTTAATAATTTAAATGGACGAAATCACGAAATCATGACCATGATTTCTTATAATACGACGAATGCCCATCAATGGTTAGATTTTCATTACTTTATTAGTTATTACTTATTAAGTTATTATTAGTTTATTATATATACTGATATACAGTCACAGACTCACAGATATATATAATATACATATAGAGATGTCAGATATTAATGTGCATTAACTCATTAAGTTATTAACTATGTCGTATTGAATCAATTTCAATTTTGAAACATTTGCGTTTCTTACAATTTATAACTTATAAGTAATAAACTACTACTAATAATAATAATAATAATAATAATAATAATAATAATAATAAATAATAATAATAATAGTAATAACAATAATAATTATAATAATATTATAATAATACTATAATAGTAGTACTGTAGTAGTAAACTAGTAATAATAATAATATTAACAAATAATTATACTAACAATAATAATAATAATAATCTTTCAAAATAATAATAATAATAAATAATTAAAAAACACGGTTAAAAAGACCTAGAAAAGCACAAAGAAAAATCTAGACCGTTAGATCTAGATGAAAATTCTGGAATCTACAAAAAAAAAAAAAATGAACGGTTAGATGTTGAGAATCCTTGAGATTGAATATGGACGGTTGATCAAATGAACAAGTAAAACCTAAACCTAGAATCTCAAGTCCACTCTATCAGCCATTCAGCCGTTTTACTCACTCTCAGTTTCTCTCTCTAACTTCTCAGTTTCTCAGTTCTCATCTCACTCATTCGTTCTGAAATTCTCAAGAATCTCAAGCTCAACTTCTCAACTTTTAAAAATCCTAATTAGGGTTTTTGTTTTCGTTTCATTTGTGTTTTGGATCTACATTTCTGATTTCTCGCTTTACATTCTCGTTTTTTTGTTTTTTCAAATCTTCCTCTCCTTCAATTTGAAGGCTTCAAGCCGTCAAAAGTTCAAAACTCAAGGTAATTTTTTGTTAATTTTTGTTGTTTTCGTTTTGATTTTTTTCGTTTTTGTTTCGGTTTGTTTATTTAGGGTTTTTGTTTTCGTTTCATTTTTGTTTTGGATCTAAGTTCTAATTTCTGACTTTTTCATTGTCGTTTTTTTGTTTTTGTCTTCCTCTCCTTCAAGCCGTCAAACCTCAAGGTAATTTTTTTGTTAATTTTTGTTGTTTTCGTTTTGATTTTTTTCGTTTTCGTTTCGGTTTTTTACTTTTTTTTATTTAGGGTTTTTATTTTCGTTTCATTTTTGTTTTGGATCTAAACTTCTTATTTCTGACTTTTCCATTCTCGTTTTTTTTTTTTCAATTCTTCCTCTCCTTCAAGCCGTCAAACCTCAAGGTAATTTTGTTGTTAATTTTTTCGATTTTTTCGTTTTCGTTTCGGTTTTTTTTTTACTTCAAGTTCTTGATTTTTTCTTTTGATCTCTAGTTCAGGCAGTTCTCCATCTTCAAATCTCCTTCAAGTCGTCAAAGACTACTCAAAGGTAATTACTTTTTCCTTTTCGTTTTTTTTAATACAGTTTTTCTGTTTTTGTATTTGATTATTGTTGTTGTTGTTCTAGTCTATGTTTGAGTTTACTTCTTATAAATCTTCATAGAGATTGCATATTTCCTTTGCTTTATATCTTCTATGAGAACTAGCTAAAGCCATTGTTTGCCTCTCTTATTTGCTTGTCTGTGGTGTCAAATTCATTTGATTGTCTAAGGTCCCAAAGTGATTGAGACCTTTCTTTTTTCTGTTTTCTTGTAGAGAGTCAATAGCAGTTATAAGCTGCAGGTATCTAGAACCAATAATGTACTGCATTTTCATGTATGCAACATGCATCTTGCTTGCAATGAGACAGCTCAATCTGAAAATTCTAATCGCACGTTGAGATCTCAAAATATTTTCACGGTATTTATGTTATACAATATACTCAATATTAATGGTAGTCTTCTATTTTTATTTGTAATGTCATAATTTAACTTTTATAATAAAAAATCTGTTTCAGTTGTGTGAGGTTGATGACGAATGTGATGATTCAACTAGATGCCCTCTGGCTGATCTTGAGGCATATTTGAATGGACCTCGTTCGCGATTAATTCAAGGGGAACATTTTGATGTTCTCAAGTATTGGGAATCTCAAGCTTCTTCTCTTCCTATTTTAGCTAATATGGCAAGGGATGTTTTGGCCATTCCTATTACATCGGTGGCCTCTGAATCTTCTTTTAGTTTGGGTGGTCGTATTTTGAACAAATATAGGGGTAAACTTTTGCCAAAGAATGTTGAGGCATTGGTTACCACCCAAAATTGGTGCCGTGGTTATCAAGCGGATGTTGAGGAAGACGTCCTCCTTATTGGTAAAGAGATTGAAGCCGAAAGTGCTTCATCTGCATAACTGGTATTTGTGTCTCATTGTGGTTTATTTTATCTTGAAAAATCGTTGCCCTTGTCTTTTATTTTCAGACTTGCTGGCAGCATTTTTCAAGACTTTTAAAATCGTTGCCCTTGTCATTTATTTTCAGACTTGCTGGCAGCATTTTTGACGACTTTTAAAATCGTTGCCCTTGTCATTTATGTTGAGACTTAAATAGTTAAATGTATTTTGGTACTTGCTGGCAGCATTTCTCAAGTTTTTGTTAAAACAACCATTGCTCAGTGATGTAAATCTGAGAGCAATTTTAAAAAACAAAAGCTATAATTTTGAAGTTGCTTGAACTTGTTATGAGCTGCTGCCTGCTGGTAGTGCTTTTGCCTTTTGGTTGATGTCTCTGCTGAGTTGTTGCTGCTGCTGTTTTGTTGCTGCTGTTTCTTATGCTTGCTGCTGTTTTGTTGCTGCTGTTTCTTATGCTTGCTGTTTTAATTTTTCTTGAATCATCGTTGCCCTTGTCATTTATGTTGAGACTTCAATGTATATGTACTTGCTGGCAGCATTTTTCAAGTTTTAAGTTAAAACAACCATTGCTCAGTGATGATACGATAAACGTAAATCTGAGAGCAATTTTGAAAAACAAAAATAAGTTCCTGCTGAGTCCCTTCTGCTTATTGTTCCTTGCTTCTGATAAGTTGTTGATCTGTTATTGCGTAAGCTGGTTCCTGCTTGTTGCTGCTATTTCCTCTGCTCTTGGGTGTTGTGCTGCTGCTTCAAGATTCTGCTGCCTTTTGTTTTTAGGATATAGTAGTATACTAGTATTCTAGTATGTTAGCTTTCCTTTTACCGTCTGTTAGGGGTGTAAAATTTTTTATCATGTAAAGGAAGGGAAAGTTTCCCATTTTCTTCTACCATAAATTTCAAATCTAGACATCTAGTTATTCTCATGCAGTTTTATAAACATTTTAGTCCTCCCCCTTTACAAAATACTTGTATAAGAAAGTTTTATAAAGTGATAATGTGAATGATTGTACATTTGTACGCCTTATTGACTAGTACAGTAATATTCTAATGCTTATGCCACTTTTGTAACGCAATCTCATACATGTCCAATCTTATGTTGCCTTTGAGTGTTATTGGATGATCATGAATATCTTTATGAAGGAACAATGAAGATAATTTGGGTGGACTAGCATTATTACTGGAATGAAAATGGTACAAATGATATATCTTGTAATTAAAATAAATAAGTAATCTAAAACGATATTAATAATGTCGTTGGACTAGATCTAGGTGATATAAACCTTTGTATAAACCTAAGCCGTTTGATTAGATCTACATTTATTAACATTAATTGTATTTACTATTTAGCCATTTAGGTTGTAAACAATTCAATTTGAATTAAGCAGTTTGTAATCGGATCAGTTTAAACAGGTTGCGATTCGAAAACAGTTCGATTTTAACGGTTTAACGGGTTATGGCAGTTCAGTTTAGACGGTTAGCGGATTATAACGGTTCGGTTTATATAGTTTTTCCAGCGGTTTAAACGGTTTCGGTTCATAAACGGGTCGGTTTAAACGGTTAGCGGGTTACAAATGGTTCGGTTTAAACGGTTTTTTTTTACGGTTTAAACGGTTTCGGTTTATAAACGGTTCGGGTCATTAACGGGTTTATAAACCATTCGGTTCGATTTTGTTTCGGTTCGGATTTGAGAAGTTTGGTTTGTTATCGGTTTACGGTCCGTAACGGGTTGACATTGAGCGATTCGATTCGGTTTCGGTTTGATATTGAACGGTTCAGTTCGGTTTTCGGTTTAAATTTATCGGTTTATAAACGGATCGGTCCGTGATGGTTCGGTTCGGTAACGGCCGGTTTCACGGTTCGGTTTGAAAAGTCCCACCCCTACTAATAACGTAATCAAATATTTGAAACTCTTTTGAATTGAATCACGTTCTATCAGATTTGTATCGGGATCGTCAAATGGAGGGTGAAAATGGATTAGTGTTTTATGTTGTATTAGTGTTGACAACACTAATCCAGTATCCTATTTTTACAAGTATTCTAGTCGTGAGTATTTATGTGCTATGGGTAAAAATGGAAATCTCTTAAAAAAAATGCGAACGTTCCCTTATAAAATGGGAGCGACGTTTAACAATTTTTTTGGTTTTTTTTTTTTTTTTTTACAAAATTACGGAGTAAGACTCAGGTGGAATACTAGATCTTCAAAAAAAATCTCAATTTCTCAACTCAGCATAAGTCATCAAATGTTTTTTTTTATACCACTGTAGTTTTAAGCCAAGTGCAAGTTACTGTACATAGCCTGTAAGCTTTTTAACTCGGTTTTTTTTTCTGCTTCTATTTATCAGCGATGATGTGACATTTGCTCTAGGGAAGTCTTACGAGTTACAGGGAACACAAATGTATCATTTGAGGTGTTATAGTGAAGTATAAAATTTGCTCCCTTGCCTTTGTAGATTTGCTTAAATAAAGGATTGTTATCAAAATATAGTAAAACGCTCATTTGTTTATTTCAAATCCCTTCATGATAACATCCCCATAAATTTCTAAGCTATTGGTGCGGATGAACATTTTCAGCGCAATATTATTATAATTAGTACGAGTAGTATTGGTAATATGAAATTTATATGGTACACTAGGGTGCTCTATGCTCATTAGTCATTATACATTCGGTGTGAAAACAGAGAGGTAGCTTTTAAAAAAAAAATAAAAAATCAGACAATTCACTTCAATTCATTTCATAGCTTTCAAAATTAAATATCTCCATGTTTGCAATTTACTAATTTTAATTAATTTTAGAGAGAAATTTAGTGTTTTTTAGACAGAAAGTTTCTAGAGAGTGAATTTGAGGAGCAAGAGAAATTTATAAAGCAATACTAACGGATCTTTTCTTACGTGTATGAGTTTTTTTTTATTTTTTATAATATGAATGAAGTATACCAGCATTTCATAGGACAAAGAAATTATAAATAAAAAAAAGAAGTGTAATGTGTTTTAAAAAAAAAAAAATTAAGTACAACTACTCGAGATTAGCTCAATTGAACACAGTAGAAAAACAGACATAATGTGTCAAGTCGAGCTACCCTAAGCAACTAAGCACTCCCTAGTCCCTAAGGCCCTTAGTAGTAGAATACTCCATAATTATCTATATAAGAAGTAAGAACCCATGCCACAATTTAAAAGACGCGCGCTAACTCTCTCTTATTTTTATTCAAAAACGAATAACTAACTCGGTATAATAACTAACTCTAAACAATTCAACTTCTCTCTCTAAAGTTCACTCAACTTCTCTCTAAAATCCACTCAACTTCTCTCCCTAAAATCAGCAACTCAAATACACTCAACCTCTATTTCTAAATTCAGCTGAACAATGGGGGAGAAAATACCAGCTAAATTCATTGCAATGGAGGACAAGACGGCAATTTCTCAAGAAAAAGAAGAGAATGTGGCAATTTCTCAAGAAAAAGAAGAGAATCAGAAGAAATCCTCTCAAGAAATTGCTGAAACGGAGGAGATGAAGATGATAGCTGACGAAAAAGAGGATGATCAGAAAACAGAAAAAACAGAGGAGAAGACAATTTCTCCCGGAGATGCTGCTAATATTCCAGAGAAGAGAAAGATGATCGCCAAAAGAAAAGCTCCAATGGAGGAAAGGAGACCTGATAGAGAAAGTAAGTTTTCTAAGTTGTTTTGATGATTAATATTATTAAGTTAGTAATTGAGTAAAATAACCTTTTCTTGATTATGATTTAATTAAACAACATAGGGTTCGTATGAAAGTGTATGATCAAAGATTATTATTGGTTAATAGAAAAAATCACAGTGTATTTTTGATGCAAACATGAATAAATTTGTTTTTGATATAATGCGCCAAATGAATTTATTTCCTATAATGTGTAATAAATTACATGTGCTACATTACATGTTATATGGACTTGAAAAAAAGTGTCAAATAGAATTCTAGTGTTCCGGCTTTTTTCATATTACGTACTCCGTATTAAGCAATAGAGATATGAAAAAGATCAGTATAATTACACGTTTAATATAATATTGCAGATCGGCTGCGTTACTTCAACTGGGAGCAGAGAGGAATTTTTTCATGTCATGAGCAGCAGTTACAACTTCTGTGCTGGTGTTATGCAATAACGGATTATTTGCAAGCACGATTTTTTCAGAAGTGTGGGGTATGAGGATTAAACTCTCTAAACAAGAACTCATAGACAATTTTGGTTGTGCAAAAGATTTTGGGAAATCTTATCCTTACCCAATTCTGCCTGCTTTCCTATGGATCCAACGAAATGGAATTGGTTTGGAAGAAAATTATAAGCGTTTTTCGGGTACTAAAGGAACTCCGTCAGCAAAAACCTATCCCAGAGTGATAATCAGTCCGGTGCAATCAGAATCCTATGAGGAAAATATAGTTGTCTCAAAATTATCCCAGCAACCTCTTCTTGCATTCATCGAAATTAATTCCGAGGAAGTCTATCAGTGCAACAGAAACAGAAAGCCCTATGCTGTAACGGGAGAGACAAATGCAATTGGTCATGCCGTGCTGTTAACCGGATGGAGTGAATTACCATCGAAGTGTTATTTGGTACGAGACCCTGACAAATTGATCAGGAAGATAAAAAGAGCAAACTTCGACAAAAACGAACATTCTGCAATTTCTGAATTTTTTTACATAAATGATATTTCTATGGTGTATGATTACGGTTAGCAGATGACACACCTTTGTAAATGACATTTTTCCTGTCTATATCATAGTTATCCCCAACTAGTAACAAGAATTCTAGTAAAGAATTGGTCATATCGATGTACCTAGGTATCCAGTTTATTGCTCTCCTTCCCATTTGCATACTGAATTATTGATTCTGCCTATTGATTTACTTGAATATCATATTTTTTTTATTACATCAAGATGAAATATATACTACTTGTAATACACTAATGAGTTTTTATGATGTAGTTATGTAAATGAATCATACTAAGTACAAAACAATCTTTACAGCATTATTAAACACATTCAATTTATTGACAGACATTGACCTTTACATAAACTATTGACAGAGTCACGAATGTATTTGTCCCTTTGATCTGTATATATGAACAAATTCAGCTTAAACAAGAAAGCTACAATCAATTTATATTATTAAAATGAAAATTATCAAAAATACTGAACAATCATCGCGGTATGGTCAATGTTCAGCCAAGTTATACATGGAGACTGGAAAGCCCTGTCAAAGGAGGTTAGAAAACCTGAAAATTGCTTTCATTTAATCAGAATTTACAAGGCAGCTGCTTTTAACAATAGCCAGCAACGTACAATGTATATACATTTCTCACCCTCAACCCTCACACATCTTACAGTTAAAAAAGATAAGGAAAAAAAAAAAAAAGGGAAGCTACAATCAAATTTTAGGGACTAGAGAAAGAATCAAAGAAAACAATCGAACCTCTGCATCTGGACTGTTAATATTAGTCCAAGATTCACAGCTTCATAAAGATCAGCACAAAATCGTGTGGAACAACATAATGCATAAGCTGTAGGAGCGAAACTTGTAAAATAAATCTCCAAGGCTACAAATTTCATTTATCGGTGATGAATGAGCCTAGGTCACTTTCAACACCAACACTCGACTTATCAGATGTACGAACATTGTAACGCTCGTATACTCTTTCTCGGTTTGCTGCCCACCACTGTTCTGCTTGCTTTTCACTAAACCTTTTCCGGCTGCAATAAACAGGGCAAAACAATTATATAAACTTTGACAGTCCAAATGCCCCTGTATGGCTGTATCTGACGAGCAAAGAAAAGTGGCCTACAGACTACTTAAGAGTATGAAATTAACAAATCTACAACTTAAAACACAATCTAAAATAGGACTACAGAAGAAAGAACTCACCTAAAACGAACTCTCTTTAGATCCTTGATACCTCCAGGTAAGGAGACAAATGTAATATATACACCCGGCTCATCCTGCTCAACCCATTCATTCTCTGGACGAGGCTCACCTTCTCGAGTTCTATTACCATTTCTTGTCGCCTCTGTACTAGCTACTCTACTTTGAACAGAACTACGGCTACTAGGGGTGCCTGACCCATTTGAAAACACAAGACCATTGAAACCATATGAGTCAAGGCTAGGTATCTGGTCATTACATTGGTTGATTGAGGGATTTGAGATGTCAGCAAAAGTAGGAGTGGAGGACAACGATGGAAATACAGGAGACTTGCTATTTCGCGTAGCTCCAACAGGTAGCCTTTCAGCCATCTCTTTGAGCTGTATGAAGAAAGATATATATTACTCATCAACGCAAAATCACATCAATGATCAGTAGACAGTTGCAACAAAATAACTATCATTAATTCCGGTGAATCAAAATCAAACTCATAACAGGTGCACCAAATTATAAGAGAAGACTTTATACTTTGTAATGAATTCAAAATAACGTGATAAGTTACAAGAGTCGAGAAAAGTATAGAAATATAGAGAAAGTGAAGAAAATCTAAAAGATACCTGGGCAGTTAGTGATTTGATCACTTCCTTGGCCGCTTTGCATTTTGCAGTCTCTTCACCTGCTATTGATATCGCTTCCTTTAATTGCTTGTTTGCTCTTTCCAATTCAACCTCTTGAACCTGAGCTTTGCGAGTGAGACTTTCAACCTACAAGAAAAGAACAGGATAATTATGACCATGTTGGCAACAGCATACTTCAAAAGTAATTAGACTAAAAATAACGGTTCACTCACAATTGAATCTAGAAATACCAAGTGACCATAAATTTGAACTCACAGATAATCATCCTCGTTTCCATAACAAACTTAATTAACAGATCTCCGCTATGAAATGTAATGGTTACAAATACACAGTAAACTTTCAAAAAGGTGTCTTATCATTCTAGCAAAGCCACTAATGTTTATGATACTTTATAGAAATGCTAAATTGTTCAATGTAAAGGGATAAATCAATAGTCACAGATGTAACATTACAAGTAGAAAATAAGTTCCATACCTGTGCTCTTAATCGGATAACCTCCTGGCTAAGGCTATCATTGGTCCCCTTGGCATCATCAACAGTCACTTTTGGGGACATAAGTCCTGAGAGGGTTGGGGTAGGTGTTGTTGAACGAGGTGGACTTGGCCGTCTAGAGATTGGTGAAGTTGCTCGAGAAACTATTCTGGATCCAGGAACTGAAGCGGAGAAAAATTTCTTTGATGACCCAAACATAGGATTGAAAGATTTGGATATATTAGCTCCCCATTGTGACCCTCCATTTGGTATAGGTGATACACGACTGCTATCATATTCAAACTTCTTGTTTTTCTTAGATCGACCTTCTGAGGAGTCCATTGAAGAGTATCTTGCAAGCTGACCACGGGATCCAGAATCAAGCTTTTCCTCTCTCTCATTAAGCTCAGTCCCTTGATTCACGATTCCTCTTCTACTAGCAGAGGAACGGGTTGAAGCCCCAGTTTCAACTGCTTTCCTAAGTTTAGTAAGGCAATTATCACAGACTCGATAAGGTTTGTTTGGATTAGGTGCCATGGAAGCCTTGAAAGACTTCTTACTACTACATGAATGACAAAATAAAAGCCCGCAATTGTAACAGTTATGTCGTTTTCTTTTGAAATTAAATGGCAAGCGACAGCCAGAACACATTGACTGATCAACACCTGAAACCCACTTATGTAGACATACAGCGGCAGTGAAGTTTGTACCACAAGCAATACTTCTCACTTGTTTATCTTTTAGAGCTTCTACTAATGTAGGGCCATTTCGATCTTCTGTATCCCCATGACCTAATCGTCCATTGGCACCCTTCCCCCAAGTGTAAACTTCAGTTCTTGAGGTCAAGGCAGCAACATGATAAGCACCACAAGCTATCTCCTCCACAAAACACTTTGAAAGCTTTCCTTCCACACGTGTCGGGAGCTTCCCATCACTATGAGGATTACCTAGTTGGCCATAAACAGGGCTGCCCATCGTATATACATGACCAGACGTTGTAAGTGCAACTGTTATGCTATATCCACAGGTAACCTGACAGAAATTAGGCTCTACAAGATCAGCAACACATGTGGGCACAAGTTTTGCCTCCTTATCACCATGCCCAAGTCGGCCTTTATCTCCATCACCCCAAGTAAATAGCTTACCTGAAGAGCAGTTGCTAGACCCTGAGCTGCCCACCATAACTTCTACAACTGCAGCAGTATGCCAAACACCACAAGCAGCTCGAACTGTGCGAAGACCCTTTAGGGACTCCACTTCTCTGGGTATGGAAACACTTTTACGGTCTCCATGGCCCAAAACACCAAAAGTGCCATCTCCAAAAGTAAATAATTGCCCAGCAGAAGTCACAACAGCTGTGTGCCAGGGTCCACAGGAGATGTATGAGACATGTATGCCCTCTAGCGGACCATTCACTCTTTTCGGGACCCAGTGGCTTACATCATTCCCATGCCCAAGAAGGCCAAAATTGAAAGCACCATCACCCCAGGTGTACAATTCACCAGAAAGGGTGACAGCACAAGTATGATGCTCCCCACATGCTACAAGCTCAATGTTGGTGGTGCTGAGGGCATCAATGAGCTTTGGATGTGATACATCAGCATCCACCCCATGCCCCAGTCTGCCACCTGTTTCCTCACCCCAAGAAAAAATCTCCCCTTGCTTGGTAACTAGAGCTGCATGCCATACGCCACAAGCTATGTTCTGGACATCCAACACTACAGCCGACTCTAATGCCTTAGGCAACAAAGAATCCATCTTGTTACCAAAACAACTACCTGTTCTACGCACTCCTCCACCCAACACACCATCTCCTGTACCTTCTCCCCAGATAAAAACATCACCCAGGGCATCCCCCTCATCAAGACCAGAACCTTGACTTGATGAGCTAACAGCACTTGATAGACTGACCCTAAAAGTATCTGCACCCATTCCTTTCATTTGACTATATACACTATCTGAACCTGAAGAAATGGAATGGACAGACATAGCAGCAGAATCTGAAGGGAAAAAACCCTTAGGGGGCGCAGTAAGCATCACATCTGAGACTGCTTTGTCCAAAGCATTTTTAGGGGGGCTGTCGTATGGACTATGAAGACGGAGGTGTTCACTGCTATCCTGATTTCATTTAAATAAAACTCAATCAAGCATGGAAGATAAAATTTCAACAAGGAAATGATACTTTTTTATTACTTCTGTTCCTTTTTTATTATGTAGTACCTTCTGCAAGCTATCTCCACTAGCAAAGGGAGAGTGTAAAGGAGAGCTTCTTCGTGTATAGGTCCTAGGACTATTTGCTTCAGATGGAATGCTATCACTCCTTGATTCTGTTCTCCACTTCCGTTGCTGAGTCCTTGAAATTAAAGCTTTGAGGCCACTAAACCATACTTCAGCTTCATCCTTATCCTTGCAAATCTGATGATATAAAGTAACTTTGAAAATTGCTTGAAGAGAAATAAAGAAACAAAAGGGCCGGAAGGAGAATTCCATATAATAAGGTAGAGTATAGAAAATTCATACCAAATCCAATGATCTATCATTATATATGAGAGAAAATGACTGGTATTCCTTCTCCGGCCGAGGATATCTTTGAAAAATTGGCTGTATGGAGAAGTAATTGATTAGTACAGATCCACTAAACGAATTCAGTCAAAATCGTTTAACACCATTAGGATAATTCCAAATTACCATCAAACAGCAGCTTACAATCCCTCATTCCTTCCCCTACCACCACCCCCAACTAAACTTTATTAAAAACACAAACAATATACCAAGTGAATCACACAAAACACACAGGATATATCGTTATTCAAAAAAACAAAAAATTTACACATTCAAAAATAACTAGATTTTTGGTTTTACCTTTCCTTTTAAGTAACAGAAAATATCATGTTACTCAGTAAGATCTTAAACAAATTGTGTAAGTGACTTACTGTGCGCTGGCCAGAAATAATTCTGGAAACATGGCTCAGCTTCAGGTGCTTCTCCTCTTTCCCCGAGAACCATATCAAAACAGATTCATCCTGTAATCAATATTTCAGTCATAAAGATACTAATGAAAGCATTCAGGGTACTATTACCCAGTCAAATATCTGAAGCAGGAAAGAACAACATAAACAAACAAGTTCATAAAAAAAGTGAAACTTACATTGGATAGCCGGAATGGACAGAACTTTGGTTTTCCTCTTCTTCCATACTTCAGCAGATATGCACCTTTTTTAAGGGCAGTAATCGCCTGAAATGAATCCAGCGAATAGCCTATAAATGATCAAAATGATCGTTGAAATGCTCAAAGGATATTATTATACTAACACAGTGACACCTTGTGTTTGACTCCTTGCAAAAAGTCTTTTCCGGGTGAGAGGACAAACTATACATGTTAACCATCTATTCTCATAACTATGATATCCAGGTGGCCTCTGTTTTGTTATAGAGGGGCAGCAGACAAGAACTACATGCAGAGTTACTGACAGGAGTAATCAAACACTAAGACAGAACCGCATCTAGGGAACTATGGTATGAGACTAAGTCCAACATATTTGAAATTGAAGATCAGCAATTTGAAAGATATGATTCCAAACTGGTGTCTCAAAATTGTCGGCAATGTAACTGTATCTAACTCTCTTTCCGCAATGTAGCCTTTCTAATGACTCCTAAACTTCCCTCTTTTTCTAATATATATTAGCAGTTCTCAATTTTATAAAGCTAATATTAGGCATTATTACAACGGTGGATCTTGCATTTGCGCTCAGTGTACTCTTAAAGACCATTACTATCAGAAACAAAACCATGAAGTAGCATAATTCCTAAGTATAAATCAAAGTGAAGTTGAGTTTAAATCGCAAACCCTTCATATAGGCCGACTGAACAAGATACCAAATGCATGGTTATATCGTCTATGAACATCAATGTTACTCGTATTCTTCATCACCAGAGCAATGTTGTCTAATTAAACCATGGTGATAACGAAACTACATACAGATTACAGACCAGACTCCTAATTGGATGATACACATAACAAATTAGCCTAATTTGAATTGGTCTCAAACAATTCCCATCAGTTAACAAATTCAGCTAATTTGTCCTCGGATTTACTACTAACTAACTCCTAGTTCCTCTTCGCAAAAAGAATGTCATCTAATTTCACACTTGAACACAAATGAACATTCAAAAATCTCTAATTAGCCTAAACACCTAACAAATTAAACCGAATTCGGCTTCAACTATTTCCATACATCTCAACTCCAATCAATCATATTATTCATGAATGATAAAATTATTCATACATTCAATTACATCAAATGCTCATAATAAGTTCAAATCATTTCAATTTCGCCTAAAAATAGCAATTACAACTCTACAATCAAAATTACAACATAATTAAGCATAAAAATTCGAAAAAAAAATAGTAAGAAATTAAGAATTTACCTGCTCAATATCTCTTTCAACAGGACCATTGCGAGTAAGATCTGTAGTCATTTTATCCATCTCCTCAAAAATTGAAGCTCAAACCAGAAATTTCCCCCAAAAATCAAACACATAAAATCCAAAGAAATTCAACTCAAACTCAACTTCAACTTCAACTCATCCATTCTCAAAGAAATGAAACCCTTCCATACATCAAATTCTCAATTAAAATCTTCAATTTCAACAACTTCCTCAAATCAAATTTCACTTCATCATCAAGTATTCCAGAAACCTCGGATTTCCGGCATTATTAACAGCTTAATTTCAGCTGAATTACACTAATAACTAACAAAAATCACACTCAAATACGAACAAATTCGAAATCACAAAATGCGAGAAACTAGTGGATTTTTTTTTTTTTTTTTGGTGAGGGTGTAAAGAAAGTCAAAGGTGGATTGACTAGCGCCGGAAAAAAGAGGAGAGAGAAAGAGGAAAATGGTCAGAAATGAATCAGCGAAAAGGTAGGAGAGAGAATCTGGGAGAGTAAATGATCTGAAAATTAGTTGCAGAGTTCAGAAGAAAGAGAGAGAAAGTGATAGAAAGAGAGAGAGAGAGAGATGAGTTTTGTTAGGAGAGAGAAACTTGAATCATTTACTAATTACTCTTCTTAATATTTAGAATTTGGTATGATAATTATTATTATAAATGAAAACAATAATTATAAAGTGATAAAGAAAAAGGGAAAAGGGGGAAAAAAATTAAAGTCGAAAATTGCTTCATCTATATCTATTTATCTAAATGCACGTAATTATAAACCTGAATGTAATTTATCTTGTTACCGGATATACTCAGAAGAGTGTGTTTAGGCACATTTGGAGAATTTAAACGAGTAAATTAAAACAATTAATGAATGAATAATAAGTTGAGAATTACCAATTTAAATTTTAAAACACTTTAAAAAGTTACTTTATATATCAATCATCTACTCGTTTTATGAAATTTGCATCATCTATATATAAAATTATTGAATAATTTATATCAAAATCACTTGCACTAAATTGAAAGATAACTTAAAATCAATCTAACAATATAAGTTTTATTTGCTCGACCAAGTTAGGTATAACACTATCACTTATAATTAATTTATGAAGTTAGGTTAGAAAAATTATGGCATCCAACATTTGCTAACTACAATCTATGTCATGTGCTATAGTTTTTCATGACATTATTGAGAAAGTAAATATTCAATATCATGAATGTAATCTCAAGGCTCCTTAGTCCCTATCAACAAGAATAATGTCCATGTGCAAAGAATAGATGGACTTTAAGGTCTTCCAAAATGCCCTTGTTAAGGTCCACTTTGATGCCACACAAACTTTAGACAGTAAATTTTATCAAGAAATATGGGGACAAGTCTCAAAATTTCGACAAACTTTTTGTTACATCAAACTGATCAAAATGGTCCTACCCTTTATGTTGCACGAATTATGTCATAATTGAATTGGGTAGTTTGGGTGTATAGCATCTGAACTTTAATTTTATAATTGCGTAAGGAAAACACTAAAATCAGATTTCGCCCCATCCGTTATGAGTGTCCACTGTATAAGTTTAAAGAGGTTTCATCTCAAAACTATATTGTAATGAGGGGAGTAGCCCCTCAGCCTTACAGAGTATACATGACTTTATTTTTTCTTCAATGTAGGATGCATATCCCAGTACTTCTCTTCACTTTTATACTCTTTCAATGTGTGACAACGCTTCCGCTCACACGTGAGTTTGTTCATGGGCTCAACAAAAAGGCACTATCTAAGATATTAAAGAACAGATTTAATTTTATTTGACAAACAAGTGTACACATTCTTTAAAGAGGAAGCTAAAGCACCTATACAAGGAGGAATTGAAAAGAAAGCATTAGAGTTTGCGTACACAACCCACCACATTATTTTCAATTTGAGAGTGAATCTTTGTTATTAGAAAACAACACAAAAACTAATACAATTCTCTTTCAAGTATACAGCTAACGTTAACAATAACCGGCTTTAAATACAATAAGCAATATTCAATCCCAAAAGGATGTATTGTATGTGCAAAAAAGTGGTCCAATCTAGACCAACCCTACTCTAACTAAAATTGACTATACTAGTTAGATTTGTAGTAATAAAAAGTGAAGAAACCTTTTTTTTGATTAAAAACCCCATAGGTTTGCATAATGGTACTATCCAATAATTTTATGAAATAGTTGGACCCAACTTTTTCATGCATCCAATCTACATTTAGAAACTTAGCAAACGTGGGGTGGCAACTTGTTAAGTAGCAAGATCCTACTAGCAAAATCCCCACATAATATAGTACTGTATATTGGGTCAAGTCTAGAATGAAGAAAATAGTGTCCTAAAGATGATAATCATTTAGTTGGATAGTACTGTTGGTTTGTTTGCTTTACAGTACAAGAATGTTAGATTTTCTCTTCATACATATGGTTCCTAGCTCAGTCTTGAAGTACTTCTACTAAGTACAATCATGAGCCGCGGTTTCACTGCAAATAAACTTTGTAAGCTCAGCGCAACGTGTGGATGCCGGTAGCTTAGTTGATCAAATATTATGGGTGTTTAATACAGATAATATGCAGACATGCGTGATGCAAACACAGATACATTCATACTCCACCATACACATACTTTTGAGATAAAGTGCAAGCAAGTCCTCGAAAAAAGATGGGTAGAGATATTTAATTAATTATCTTAGTCTTTTTATGTATTGTGTTAAATTACACTTAATCTAGTTTGTTATATGGGTAAGATGAGGTACATATTATGTACTATAGCTCATCAAAAAGATAATGTGGGTGAATGTTTCGCGGTATGTAAGGTGGTAGTGTACAACTTATGGTGGTATGACTGGTATCAGACTATAAGTTAGATGAACAAATTAAAAGCACCCATGAGATACACTGGAAAACAGATAGATTGATCAACAGTAACAAAAGAAACCTAAGCCGTGACATAGGCAAAACAGCACGTGCAACGTTACTTGCAGGTGCATAACAAAATTAGTTTCTAAACAAGAACAAATCAGATGATTTACACAATATATGACAGGGCCAGGATTGATTGAGTGATCAATCTCAACGACAAAAGTTGATCAAGCAATCTTGCCAAAACGGACATCGCTAAAGGAGCAGAAGGGGGAGGAAGAGAGTGACATGGTTTGGACTTTGATGGGGGGCATAGAGCAATGCTGTTCCATCTAACCAGCTGTACAACCCACCAATGTACTTTCTGAGGGTGCAAACACTTTCATCAAACCCTAACTGGAGCTCACTTGCATTTAATTTCTTTTCGGCCATGCCTGATCTGAAGTTTTACCATGTTTGACAATACATATTCTCAGTCCATAGAGGAGCTAGTTTCTGCAGTCTCATCTTCACTGAAACTCGATGGCATTTCTATTGGTCTGCAAGGAACAAAATTCCAGTTTTGGTAAACAAAGGAAGAAAAGAAAAACATTATATCTATGTTAGTTGCTTCCATACTGTCTGCGAGTTTATCAGGTCAACTAAGTAGTAAGTAACCCTTAGCAAATCTTACATGAACAGCAAATTTGCTAACATAGAAAGCAGGCAAGCAGCAGTGTGATGAGTGAAAAGTTCAGTTATGAATAGGGTCTAGTAGATACCATATCAGCTCTTTACAAATGACATAGAGACAATAATAAAACAATCATTACATACCCCCTCTGTTCAAACATATTAAGAACAAGACATGATTCGATGTTGTCCCCACACCCTCCACGACTCCATTACTTGTTCTAAGCAAGTTCATTTTAAAAAATCCAATCATAAATCATAAATTTCGTGTAGACCTTACGTATATATTATCATACATCTCAAGGTACAAAATTTTAACTTGATATTGGTACTATAACAAAACATAAAATCAAAAAAACGAAGGCAATGTTCAGACAAATACACAATTGTTTTAACTCACTCTCTAATCTGTCTTGACCACTGCGGTGGCTCTTGAGATGATGGTCTCATAGCAACATAACCTTCCTGCAGCAACTCTTCTCTCCCTCTTTTGACAGCCTTAAAATGCATACAAAAAACATCACAACCATATGCAAGAAAATACTTTGTAAGAAATTAACATAGAATTTTGTTGAAGGCAAAATCTCACCCTAAGCTCATTTGGACTCATTTTTGATCTGATTGAATCATGATGATTGACTATCGGTCTTCTCTCCGCATAAAATTCTTCATCCTGCCATCCCTTAAATTATTCTAAAATTCAATATAAAGCTCATCCCACCCACCGATTTAAAAGGCTAAAAAATAATAACATGAAAAGATGCGAATCTAAACACACCTTCATTATCCTGCTAGGTGGTACTCTGTCTTCTTTATCTATGGGGTCCTTATTCCTAATTGGTGCAGCAGACCTGGAATCTAATCGTTCCCTTGAACGGACAGCCACAGAATTCCCGTTGTCATAATCATTCCACCAGGGTTCCTCTGGTTCACTGGTAAATTTTCCGCCATAGGAATCAGATCCCATACCCGATGGTCCATGCTTACGCAGGATACTGTTGTTCATACTGCCATCATAATCTGAGCTTTCTCTAGCAGAATAGGAAGCCACACAAGATGATTTATGTGCTGGAAACACACGTCCTTGATTAGGATAAGTTGACTTCTGTTTAGGTTGGCGGTAAGAGAAACTGTCTGGGTCTGTCTTATGCAAGGATCTGTAATCAGCAGGAGCAACAAACTTGTCCTGATTTCGTATCTGCAACAATAGACAAGTCAGTTTGCAGATAGTATAAGAGCAAAGAAGTAACTATATTTCAATACACACAAAAACTTCCCAGTAAGGCAGTACCCGCCCACAGGCATACATGAAGCAAAAAAGAGGTTAAGCATTCATAATACATATATGATGGGACATTAAATATCACTAGTATTAATTTCTAAGCATTTGTTGCGAATACCACACTACCACATCATGGATATTCAGTTAAATGAGATATTCAATATCATAGAAATTATTTTCTAGGGGCAGAATAATAATTAATTAAAGGGGGGGGGGGGGGGCTAGAATGTAATTAAAGTACATCCTTGAGTACCAACAAAGGGAGTATAGAGGGGGCGGCGGGGGCAGGAAGGGAACAAAAGCACTGAGCTTTTCTTCCTTCCCCTCGATAGATGCTTTGAATTTCAACTTAACTAGAATGTAAATAACAGCAAAAACTTTGCATGAGAGATGTGGAAGAACATAACAATTATATACTCTTTAGCATTTCTTTTTATCTGACTTAACTAAAATATAGTAGAGCAGGTTGCTTGGTGATCAATCAACATCTTCTTTCCTGATTTTACCATATCACAAATACCCAGTTCATTACAGGTGATTGTTTATTTGTTTTCTTGTGTCCATTAACAGCCTTTCCTAGTATAATTCTTAAAACTGTTGCTACACCAGATCCTCTAAGCAGAATGAAGTAAAAACCTGAACCTAAACATGATTATAAAAATAAAAAAAACAAAAAAAAAAAATCGAAAATCCACTTACTGTGCTAAGGCTGGGTCGCTTGTGAATGGCACCAATGTCGAAAGAGCTAGAACCAACAGGTACTGAAACTCCATAAGCGTCTGTAGAACAAAACAAAAGAGCCAAGAACTTAAGAGTTGGTGATGAAATGCAATGTGATCATTCATCGGGATACATGTAATGATGAAAAATTACATAAGACCAGAAACAAATCTTAGACAAGTTAAACAAAGCAAAATACCACACTCAAGAAAACTTGTCCGGAAAAAGTGTCCCATGGTACAGCAACTACAATGAACATAAGGGTTTGGACCCTCGACAGAAAAATCCCATCAAAGCACTACATATTAAAGCGGAATAACTTTTTCTTATTCAACATACCATGAATTACTCATTCAATCATCAAGGATAAAATCACCTCCAGTGGAAGTTAAAGTCGGGACTCCACTCTCTTAAGTTTTAAGTAAAAAACAAGATCAAAATTCCAAATTCTTTTGCATTGATACATTTAAGTTCACAAAAGACATGATAAAAGACCATATGATGAGGAGAACAAACTTACCAGAATTAGCATTCTTGCTTGGTGATTCAAATGCACCTGGAGGAAGTGGATCAAATTCAATCCCAAGGGGAGGACCATCCTCTTGATATTGCCTTCCTAGTTGTCTCTTGACTGCAGTTACAGCAGCATTTTCCGTCTGACCCTTGATTTTCAAGTATCCTGAGGGTCCCACACGCCTCTTGTTTTGAGCTATAAATCCATTTGGTGCCCGATATTCTGTTGCTTCGACCTCCAAAGAACTCCTTTTATGGGGGTAAAAGCTACCCTGCAGAGCTGAATTACTTTCTGAAGATGTATCATCCATCTCAATTCCATCATCAAGCACCCTTTGTTCATAGTTTATCTCGGCGGCGGGAAAATCACTGTTACCAAACCTCCGACTCTCGACCTCCCTCAAATCAGCAAGCCTATAATCACCTTGTTTGGTACTACTGCATGAATCCTGTTTTAGCCCACTACCACGATCTTGTATAACACCACTTGAAAGTTCCTGTCTGCCAGGTGGGTTTAGCTCACCATTTATGATTCTCTTATCCTTCAATCTGCGGTGGCAAAACCATCCAGAAATCTGCTTCTCGGTCAGACCTATATTCTCTGCAAGCTCTGCCTTCATGGACTCAGTTGGGTACTTATGTTCTGGATAAAGATCAAAAAAGGCAAAAAAAAAAGACATCAATCATTTACACCACAATGATAGAGTGTTTTAATTTTGGGAAGGTCAAAAGACAAAAAGATATTAAACCATTATAAAAATCCTCCAAAGCTTGTAGTTGGTATGGTGTCTTGAACCGCCTTCTCTTGTTCTTCTCCGGAAGTGCTTTATTTTCTTCACATTGTACTTCGCTAGAATCTGAAACATTGAACATAATTATTAACAAGCTAGACAATAATCCTTTTTCACGAGATGGAAACCATGGGAAAGTGTGTTTTCAGTATAGACCAAGAGCACTCCAATTCGGATCTAAATAGTGCTTAATACATCTTTAACCAAAATGACACCAAACTAAAAGCATTAAGACAAATAAGCAAAATTTCAAGGAGAGTAATTTATGATGAATTTGATGGCATAACCAGGTTTCAGTTTTACATTGACACGAAGTATTAAAGATGATACTGCTCATTAAGATAATCATAACTTGCAAAAGTATTGAATCTCTAGTCTATACTATACATCCAAAAGACAACAACCAAGACATCGCAGTAGTATGACTAAAGCTTAATTGGAAAATCAGTAACAAGGTGTAACAATATCATCCAAACTCCAACAATTAAACTGACTTTCAATGAGGTCCCAATTTCACATTTCAATTACAATCAAATTTTAGGTTTTCCTCTACTAAACAATAAATCCTCAATATAATTACGCATTTAAGGAGCAAATCTAACAAGCTCGTTAGGTATATAAGTAAAAAGAACAAATAAAACACAATGCAGGTTCACTCCAATGTGTAGATCGAAATCGGAACAAACACGACGATAATCACCCATAAGCTTTCACATAATTTGCCCTTCCGTTAAAGGTATCACTCCTTGAACAACAAGCAATTTATTACACACAAAATGGGTTTTTTTTTCATCCAAAAAGGTGATACCAATTGAAATAGATTTCCAATTGACAAACAAAATAATCAGTAAACATGCCATCAACATACACATAATAACAAGATTAATTAAGCATTCTAAACAACAAAAATTAGCAGTTCATATACAAAAAAACAGCATAATAATAAGCAATAAAAACTGGCTTCCCTAAACATAAAAAACCCCCCAATTCCCAACAAAATTCAACAAAAATACATCAAGATTACATGAAAAACATGCAAACCCAGATCAAAAACAATAATTTTACACAAATTAAACTCATAAAATTGTATGAAAATTCATTAAAACTTCCTCCAAATTGACTAAACAGAATAAAATGCTGTAATAAAAATTAAAAAAAAAAAAAATCCAAATTTTAACGATCTAGGGTGGATACATAAAATTCCCATTACCTCCCATGTTGTGTATACAACTCCAAAATCCAATCAAACTTTTAGGGTCAATAAAAATTTCCAATCTTCTTTTTGTTCAAAAGTTATTTGTGGTTTTAATGGGGTCTTCGAATCTGGAATCCTAAATCAAGAGAAAAATAGAGGAGAGAGAAAGAGAGAAGAGGGGTCTTTGAGAACAAGGCAGATATAAAATAGCATCTTCTGAGTTTCCCATCAATTTATGGAATTAGTAGTATTTTTTCTTTTCCAGAATTTTGATTTCTGTTCTCGGATTTTGTTGTTTTAATCCAAATTAAGGTGCGACCCTTCACTATTCGTGTTTGTGTTAATTCTTTTTTTTTTCTTTTTTTTCAATAGTCGTTATACACAAGGAAAATTTGATTTTTGCTATCACTGAGTTACACCATTTTGACTTTTGTTACTCATTTAGGAACCGTTTGGTTAGGGTTAATCATCACAGGAAATGAGAATCAACTACCCTCAATTCATTTTGTTGTTGTTTGTTAAGCACTTTCTTTCACTCCCTTTACCCTCTTCATTCTCCCAAATCCCTCTAACTTCATTCCCCACCCCCTAGACTTTTCCATTCCCATTCCCTAGCCACTAATATCCACCATACCACCACCATCCCACCTACCCAAATCACCGGAAACCCGCACCACGGCCAGCCACCCCACCCCTCGTTGCACCTCCCTTCCTCTCGCCGTCAAACCACGCACTCTCGAGACCCTATCCCCATCCCTGTACAAACCTAAAAAAAGCTTTCTTTCTCACTGTAAAACGGTCGTTTGGCCCTCCACCACCATCGAAACCCTAGGCGCTAGGTTTCGAGGGTGGAGGAGGGTCGGGCGACGGGTTTTACGAGTTTTCGAGGCTATTTTATAGGGTTTTCTAGGCTAGGGATGTTTTTGCTTGAGGGGAGAGATGTGGGGGGCCGGGGAGGGGCGGAGGAGGGCCGACGAAGGGCGGCGAATGGTTGGGAAGGTGCGGCCGACGGTTTGACAAGGAGGGGAAGGGGTTTTTAGGGTTTTTCGCGGGTGGGTCAATGTTTTCAGGGGAGGGGGAGTGCTTTCCGGGGAGAGAGGATGGGCGGCGAAGGGTGGGAAATGGGCGGCGAGGGCCGGCGAGTGAGGCTGGGTGGTGGTTTGGTGGTGGGGTGGCTGGAAAAGGTTTCATAGTGAAGAAAATAGGTGGTTTCATAGTTGTGGTGTGGTGGTTTGATTGGTGGTTTGTTTCCTTGTGTTTTTGTAAAACAAACAACATTGTACTTGGAATGGTTTTGCTTTCCATTCTCCTTCTTTACCTTTGTTCATTCTATTCCGTTTACCCTCTTCGAACCAAACGACCCTTAATTTTTTTATAATATTTCACTACCACCTAAAAATAAGTGGCCCCAAAAAATCTCTTTGCGCCGGTGACCCCACTCCCTCTCCTTTCCCCCCTTCCCACTCTCGGCGCCGGAAGTTGCTCAGGGAGAACGCAAGAAAACCTTCAATCTACCGGCGAGAAAGCATCAATTGTACCCTCCTCCCAATTACTCACCCTTTCCCACTTTCATGTTATCTGTTACTGACTCTTTTCATCATTATCAAACCCTCCTTTCTTTATAAAATTCCAACTCCAGCTAAATTACCCGTATTTCTTCATCTTCCTACCTTTGCACCACCTCCACCACAACTACAACACTACCTGGTTTCTATTTTCAACATCCATTACATCAATTTTATAATCATCACTTAATTTATCCACCAAAAATAATGCATCCTCCTCCCAATTACTTTTACTTTCCAAAATCATATCTTATGTAGGAACAAAGACTGATTTGAGGCCATTGTTTCCAGTAATTGGAGCAAGAGTAGGAGAGAAAATCGGCGGTGGAGTAATGATGGAATCAAGGCGATGGAAGAATTCCTCATTAAAACAGACTAGAATTCCGTCGAGGCATGAGCGGTGTGGGTGGGGGAAAGGGAGGGGGAGGGGTTGCCGACATCGAGGATCATTCGAGCGCCGACAATCGTCACAATTATTACTGAAATGAGAATTATTTTATTTATAACAATGAGAAAATGATTTCATTTCACTAATTTATTTGGACTAACTATTATTATCTCCTAAAATCCACTCATTTAAGCTCAAGTAGGAATATTAGTCCTATTAGGATTAGGAAAACTCATTATCAACATTAAAGCCCTTGAACCCATTCCCTTAAATCCCCCACAAAGCCCACAAACTCTTTCTCTCTGATTTCACGCCTCTTGCCTCCCCTGTTTTCACGAACATCAACCAGAAAAAATATAATAAAAAATTCCTTCGACTGCTCAACTGCCTAAATCACCGTTGCTCTGTCGGAAACACCGTCGCCTGCTGCCACCGTCGCCTAGCCGGACGTTAGTTCTTTTTAACTTTTTTTTTCTTTCTTTTCAATACACTTCTCTTTATTAGTTTCAAAGATTTAAACTTTCTATGATTTAATCATGTTTATTAGAGTGTGATTATGTATATTAGTATATAGATGGTAAAAGATTGCAAATTTACTAGTTTATGTGCAATTGATTTTCAGATTTATGTATTTAAGACCTTGGTTTTTCATGGTTTAGGGCTTAAAACGTGATTAATTGAGATTTAATTAGTTACTTTATAGTTATGTAGCCGTGTAATTCTAATTGGATTTCCTAGTAATATTGTGAATTTGTAGTCTCTATAGCAAATTTTAGTATTTTTTCTTTTTCTTGTGCAAATACTATAACAATTTTGTTTCCTCAAAAAAAAAAAAAAAAAAAAAAAAACTATAGCAATTTTGTAGTTTTAACCTTTAGACTCTCTCCTCGAATTTACCTTCCACTAATCTCACTACCTCTGTATTTTATTGCTTTCTCAAATTTCTGGTAAAATTCAGCGCATAGAGAAATGAACCAAGTATTTAAAACGGGGCGGAGTATTAGGTAATTTAGTATGACATTTTTGATTCGAATGGCTCCTGACCTATGCGGATCAATATTTGAACCCAACCGCCACTTAATTAAACAAACCAAATGTTGCTATTCTAAATACTTGGAATTTTTTATATCTCGCAGATAATATTCCAAAGTTTTAGTTAACAAGTGATGGAGGTAGTATAACTCAACACTATATCTTAGCCTTGGACATTCCAGTTTTCATGGCATTTTATTTTATGTCTGATATTTGATATCTTCTCAGGTGCTTATTGGAAAAGCCGAAGCGGTAAGGACTTTTAAGTGGTTCATGGCCACTGAAAAAGATAGCTTTGGGCCCTTATGTAAGGACTTATTGCTTGATATATTTAGTAGACTTTCTGGGTGGGATCTAATCAAGTGCAAATGTGTTTCAAAAGAATGGTACCGAATCATCACCTATGTTTGTGTTCCTCAATTGTCAGCCAACACTCCTATTTCTGGAGTTTATTATCGTGTTTCTCGGGTCTCTGGAGAGTTGCTATGGGTTTTTTTTCATCATCGTCTTGAGAACTTAAAGACAAGCTCCTTCATCATGTGGCCTATTGTGGCTCTAGTCACTACATAGACTGTGATCTTTTGAAGTCGTTTTCCGATCCCTCTCCTGATCAAACTCGTTTACCTTGGAAACGGCCGGATCCCTCTCTTAAGAATGTCCCTGGCATGTCATATTCAAGTATTTTTCCATTTAAACACAGTGGACCTGATTTATTGGACTGTTGTAATGGCTTGCTTTTGTTTGTCCAGCGTCCCAAACCCCAATTCTATGTGTGTAACCCAACAATTAGACAGTGTGTCCCTGTTCCTCTTCCTCCACCTTCTGTCCATCTTTCTTCCCTTTATGCCTCACTAGCTTTTGATCCTTGTGAATCCATACACTACCGAGTTATTGTTTTATCCATTACTACTCAGCCGCAATGTTTGCATATTTTTTATTCCCAGTCTGGAGCATGGATGACACATGAGGTGCATATAGAGCTACCCTCTTCAGGGAAGTGTTTTCAGTTAATCAGACACTCTGTATACTTGAAGGGCATATTGTATAGGTTATCCTTGTTGAATAAAGTTATATTTTTTGACCTTAATCGGCTGACAATCCGTGTTATTAACAACCCATGTAAGACACCTCCACCTCAACCAGGATGCATTGCGGTTTCAAATGGACTTCTCTCCTATGTCAAGCGAGAAAAGGACTATGTGTGTGTGTGGTTGCTTGACGACCCCAATGAACCCAATGAATGGAGTTTGAAGTATAAACTCTGCTTCGATAACCTTCTGGATTGTGTGTTGGAAAAGAAAATGGGTGGTATTCTTGTTTGGTTACACCCCTGTGGATTTCATCCAACAGAGGACATATTATTTATGAGCTCTGCAAGTTCAATCTTGGCGTATCATATTGGAATCGGCCGTATTCAAGAAGTGCGGAGCTTTAGCTTTCTTGGTGAAGTCTCTGGTGGATACTTCTTTCCTGTCTTTATGCACAGAAACACCTTTGTCACATTAAAGAACTGGTGCAGGGGGACGACTACTGAAATCAATGTGAGTACTGATCTGATCAATTATGTAGTTTCTTGCCATATACTTGTTATGTTTTTGTGCTGGTTTTGTATGTCTTCATTGTGCTGGTAGTACTGTTTCTGTCAGTTGTCACAATGCTGAAGTTGTACTTGCACTTCATTTTTATAGTTATCATTGTTTTGTGTTTTAAGGTATTCTACACTTCTACTATTGTATCAGATATTCAGAACGTGAGGACAGTGGAATAGTAATCTTAGTATATGAGTGGAATAAATCGTGTATTATTACAATATAAAATGACAATCTCTTTTTGTTTTCTTCTGAAAATTAATCCATATACTTGTAATAATACACGATTAATTTTTGTGGGATTAGGGCTTTGTCGTTGAATGTGTTTTAACTTCTAAAGTGTCCTTGTTGGAGAAAATTTGGAGTTCTAGTATGCATAGTGACTATTGGAACTTGTGCTTCATCTAAGCCTACCCTCCCCACTTGTATCTTATACTTCCTCCGCTGCATATCACTTGCAACACTTCGACCAAAAAGCTCTGACATTTTTGGTCAAAATATTGCAAGTAATATGGAGCAAAGGAAGTATAGTGTATGTTTTAGGGCTTTCAGCTCATCTTCTTTTCTCATGGACAGAATTATGAAGAGGTGCATGACAATTGGTGTTACGTAGAGCAATGATTATTCAGTGCATGAAGCGTACGAGTTTGTCTTAATTTATTTGTCTGATAATAAAATGAGTCGCTTTGGGATGACTTATATAGCCCTGAGTCCCTGACCTTTGGATTCACCAAGAATGCTGCAGAGTGACAATAAAGCTGGAATGGAATGTACACTACAAATATAAGGGTGGGCTGTCTGAATAAATCCCCTTTCTGATTTATTTACCATGTAGCAGCATCTAATAAAACGATTGTTTAGTTTGCGTCTATTCTAATGTTATAGCCTAAAATTCTCAGTGCGGTATTGGTATTGTTTGAACTTGTTTGTCATTGAATTATAACTAGATTTCGTGCCCGCACGATGCCGGGGTTTGAATTTATGAAATTAGTATAGTGATTAGTATTATGAAGGTATAAAGGAGGCTACATGGTTGCGAGGTCTTGTCATGGATCTTGGTGTCTCACTGATAACTTGCTATTTGATACGATTTTAGGGTGTTTTGAACCTAGTTTACTTGATATAAATTGCGTTTTGGTTCATTTTTACTCTATTATTATGCAATTTTTGTGTATCCTATGCTTCACGGGTTGTTGGTGTTTTTGTTGAGATTCTAGGTTCAAAAGAACGACCAAATGGAGCCCATGGATACAAAGCCGAGGTTAGAAGCAAGAAGATGGATGAAAGAAGCCAAGGAAAGGAGCATTATAGAAGAAAAGATGAAAAAAGGGGTTTAGAAGACCCTGCACGGCTGTGCCAGACCTTGCACGTCCGTGCAGGAGGTTCCAGAAAGCTTCAGCAAGCTGCCAAGGCCTGCACGGCCGTGCTTAATCTGGCACGTCCGTGCAGAAGAGGGTGCACGACCGTGCCAGACTTTGCACGTCCGTGCAGAAGTGCTCCAGAAACTCAGAACATTCTGCCAAGGCCTGCATGGACGTGCCAAATTAAGCACGTCCGTGCAGATGTAGCTGCACGTCCGTGCCAATATCTGCACGTCCGTGCGGAACTGCTCGATTCTTAGCAGTACGTTCTGCCTCAATTCTGCCCCCTCTGCACGTCCGTGCCAAACTTGGCACGGCCGTGCTTAGCCTTGCACGTCCGTGCCAAATCTGGCACGTCCGTGCAGACCTGCAGTCGAACTCCTTCCTTGTTTTCTCCGTCCTTTTTATTTGGGGGTCATATAAATCCCCCTTTAGAGCTCATTTGTAAAAAAAAAGAGGGGGGAGGCAGTTTTTCAGAGCTTTTCTCTTAGTTTGTAGTCTTAGAACATTAAATTCTCAAATCATTAGTTAGTTCTTAATTATTAGCTTGGAATTATTCAAATTCAATCATTGTAGAAGACAAAATCCACCATTGTTGCTCACCTTGAAGCTTCATAGTAACCATTTCTTACTCATCTTTTCTACTTCTCTTTACTTTGTTGTTAATTATTTGCTAGTTCTTGCATGTTTTGGATTGTTAATTAGCTTAATCCTTAGTTTGAATTTGTTCATGAATTGCTTGAAATCTTTAATTGCTTTAACCCCCATGGATTGTGAGTAGTCTAAATTCTAGGGTTTAGGCAAAACCCTCAATGTAGTCACTAATTACTTGTTGCATGTGCTAATTTGGTTGTTGTGGGATGTTAATTAGTTGAGCTTAAGTGGTTTAATTGCTTAGTTCTTGTATATGGCCATTGCTAGAACTATTTATCCAAGCTTTCTCAACGAAGGATCGAGAGATGAACTTGAGTTAGCTCCCTTATGCTTGATTGACCCGAAATGCCATGAGAATAGGGATTACCGGTCAAGGGAATGTTTATGTCATCGTGATTATGCTTTAACACTTGTTTTATGCTATGTAACCACGAGAGTAGGTCGTATTCATGATTCAAGTAATCCCTCTAGCTTGAGAGAGTAGTTGGGTGCTTTAGATGACTTCCCCTAATTTATCCCATTAATTTACCTTGATTGTTGCATGCTAATTGTGATTTGTGATGAAGTTGAGTGGTATAACCCAAGCCCTAGATTCCTCTTAATATTGTTAACCTCCTCTTAGCTTAGTTGAATTGTGTTAGAAGAAGTTACTAAAAACCAACCCAATTTAGAATTCGTTTAGCTTATTTAAACAGTAGTACTCGGTGGTTGATTCAACGCCTCTCTTGGGTTCGACCCTTTCTTACCCTTACTATTGTTAGTGAGACCAAGATAGGAATTATTATCTTTGGTAGGCTCGACGACGGCCTATCACTCACAAGGAGTTACTAAGGTGTTTTCTGATAGCCAAAGTGCTATCTTTCTCACCAAGAATGATGCTTATCACAACAAGACCAAGCATATCTCAGTCAAAATTCACTATGTCAGAAATACAATTGCAGAAGGAGAAATTGCTGTGAAGAAGATTCACACTTCTGAAAATCTTGCAGACATGCTCACAAAGCCACTTCCTACCACTAAGTTCAAACATTGTCTGGACTTAGTGGGTTTCCATTCTATCTAAGGCCTTCGGGGCCCATACGACGAGCCCATGAAATTTGGTCCAAGGTGGAGATTGTTAGATGTGGCCCAAAATTTCATATGGACCAAGTTTTAAAGAAGCCCAATACAATTCTTCTTGCTTCTAGAGTATGTCAAATATTCTACAATTATGTTGATTATTCTAGAAAAATGGTCAACTCTCTAGAAGCAATATTATCATGCAAGCAAATCTAGAAAATTCTTCATACATCTTGAGGCATCCATTTCCACCAACCTAACCAACTTTAAATAGTTGGAGTTTGGCTCATATTGAGGCATCCAACCAATATACATTCAACCTCCATACAAATTAACCCACTCACAAAATTACTCATCCATTTACACTAGTCTTCCTAGTCAATCTCCTCCTTGTAATTTATTCCACTATTTTCTTTTCTTTTATTTTGAGGGTTTAATTGTAAGAGTTGTATCTCAATACCCTATTTATTGGGGTAACTTTGTACTCTCATTTTATTATAGTGGAATTTTTTGGTGCTCGTCGTCGTGGGTTTTTTACCTCTATTTAGAGGGTTTTTTCCACGTTAAATACCGTGTCTCCTTTTATTGCTTATCTTACATTTTACCTTTAATTTCTCGTTCTATTTTACATTTCCGCTGCGTGCTCATACCCTAACAATTATTGTGTGCAAATATTGAATTGTTGAATGCAAAAGTGTATTAATGTTCTGCTTAGCTGAATTGCATTTCGTAAATAGTTAAGGTGTGGTTTTTTAGCTGAATTGCATTAAAAAGTGTATTAATGCAAAAGTGTATTAATGTTCAACTATTTACTCACTGGTTCACCTGAAGATTTTATTTGAGGATGGAATGTGTGGTTAGTGTGAGTACTCACTGGTTTACTTGTAATTTTCAAACATTAACTAAGACTGCATAAGAAGTTGTAGTAGCACATTAGCAGATCCATTGGTCCATTTTTCCTGAACGAAAGTCAGGTTTTATACATTGAGTTGCACAAGCCTATTGAACGAAAGTCAGGTTTTTTTTTGGGTCTTTCAATTTTTGTGATAAAAATTATATTCATCATTTTCAATAGATAACCAGAAGTGAAGAATGAAAATGCTGCTTTGGTAATCTCTTCTTTGGAAAAATGACCTGCATAAAGAGTAAGTGTGGCAATCTGAAAACTTGGGCATGATATCAAACCGGTCACCCACCTCAGGATCTTGGTGTAAATCACACTCCATGTGATTGAAAGAAACCTAGGATTTGAACAATTCTTCATGATTGTTGGAAAAGGCTTTAGTTATGTTGTCTTGATGGGTAATCTAGTTGTTTTCCTCATTTTGGATACCCTTGATTTTATTTATCCCTTTCCTTGTTTTTACACGTTTGAAGAAGTTGCTCGTGCATCAATCTATCCCATATTGAGTTTTGCTCTATGTTTCCAGTAAAAATGCATATCTTCAAAATTATTTAAGGTGATTCCACTCTTTTTCTTGTACTGAATACACCAATCTCTACAACCTAGGATAGCAGCTTGTATCTTTCTTTGGACTTCATGCATGCTCAAGCCATTCACTTGCTTATTCCATTCTATGTTATTGGCTTCTTCCATATTCAGACATCATGCTTCAAGTTTATAAGGCCTTCTTTTCTTGCGGAGTGAATGACTAGAGTGCAAAACTATGCGAGCATGATCTGAGATATGATTTTATATGAAAGATTAGGAAATTTACATTGGATTTTTATATCTTATTGTCATATAATCAATGCAGAGAAGTCAAGGCAATGGCTGCAATGTCTCACCCTAATATCGTCCGCTACTACTCAGCTTGGGTTGAGAGGGAGATAGCTGGTAAATTTTTTGAAGCTGGAGAGGAAAAGGGGTCATATGAGGAACTTAAATGCATAGCTGGTCCAATTCTGTACATTCAACAAGAGCTATGCTCAAGGTAAATCATTTTTTGAAAAATGAATTTGGTTGTATTCGTGTGGGTTGATGGCTTGATGGGCTGATGGCACTTAGCTTTGTCTGTTTTGAAGTCTGTTTTGTTAATTGTTTCACGTGATATATGTTACAATCCGAATGTCCGATACGTCATTTTAGGATACCAAGACACCGTCTTAACTTTGGATTTGGATACAAATACGACAATAAAATTTTTAACAAGTTTTGTTTTAAAATATATTGCTCGTATTAGATTGTATGATGTATTGATGTAGTACTTACTAGGCTTGTACAAAACTATCCGAAAATCCGATAATCCGATCCGCAACCGATCCGAATTTTTGGATATCTGATCCGAGTTTTCATTTCGGATCGGATATCCGATCCGAAAAAGCGGATATCGGATGCGGATTTGGATATTAATTTTCAGAATTTCGGATATCCGATATCCGAAAGATATCCGAAATATAAAGCCTAAAATAATATAATTTTTAAATTGTTCATATAAAACTAACCCTGTATTATTAACTTATTGTAATATTCTTAATATATTTGATGATAATATTAATTGCAAAAGGACTACTATTTTTGTTAAAATATTTTGTACAACATAGCGATAAAAAAAACGGTAAAATTAGTGAAATTTAGAAAGTAATCATAACAATTTTACTTAATATTGGATAATGGATATCCGAAGCATCCGATCCGAAAATTTTGGATATCCGAATATCAGATATCCGAATTTTTCAAATCGGATTTGGATATCAATTATTGATATCCGAGTCTTCGGATATCCGATCCGAAATGTGATTTCGGATCGGATATCTGATCCGTGAACAGGCCTAGTACTTACTAACTTTTTTTGCAGCTCTCTAAGTGACTTGCTAATTAATGGGAGTTTAGAGGATAAGAAATCATATGATATCTTTGGAGATATTATTTTTGGATCATATTCATCAAAAGGGTGTGAGGCATGGGGATTTATCTCCAAGTAACATTTTTTTTGACAGAGATGGAAAAGCTAAGATTGGAGATTTTGGCCTAGCTTCTTTGGCTGAATCGGGGATTTTCGGAGAATATAGCCCAAGGGCTATTGGTGCCTATTGTGCACCCGAAGTCAGTGAAGGCAATTACAGTCTTTCTTCAGATATATATAGTTTAGGAATTATTCTATTAGAGATGCTTAGAGACTTTAAGACAGACATGGAAAAGGCTCAAGAACTTCAACATTTCAAAGATCATTCTGAGCTACTTTCTCCCTGGCATGTTGACAAGAAGGAGGAGAAGATGGGATTTATTTGTTTGCTGACTAATTCTGATCCATCTCTTAGACCTTCTCAGGAGCTATAATCTCATCTTTTGAGACTTTGAGGGGAGGAATTAAAACTACGTAGTATAAGTATATAATTTCTTTTTTGTTAGAGGAATAAACTTACTGTATTGAGATACTGTTGTAATAACTTCTTTTATATACTTGATTTTTAGTGTGTATAAAGACCAAATGAATATTTTCATCTATCTAGTTGCTGAACAGGGTTTAATCTCATCCTCATTTAAGTGTTTAATTTCCCCTACAAATAAACAATTCAAAGTTTCCAGAGTAACATTTCCTATATAATATTAATATGTTAGATTTAAAAAGCAGCAAAATCAGTAGAAAAAGAGCTCCGTTTCCTATTATGGGGCTGCTGATAATGATATCATCCACAATTCCATCAAAATCTTTTACAAGGGTACTGTGTGAAGGTGCATAAGTTAGAAAAGGCCCCGAGAGTTTGAGAAATTCCGCCCCCTAAATAAACATAATTCAGGAGCTGCAATCTAACTGTTTCTTCGTCGAGACTCTTCTATTCCTCTTTCTTACTAGATGCAGAGTCGCTGTCATCTTTAGATGACGTATCCTCGGCCAACTTTGACTCGTCGAATTCCATCAACTGCACATACGCGAAGCAGAAAAATCAGAGAAAGCAGGAAGTGAAGCAGATAAAAAAATTGAGCACTCAGAATTAATACACGAGTCTCACAATAGTCATAAATCTTGTCAATAATAGGAAGAAAAAAAGAAGAAAAAAAAAGAGCTCCAAATGCCAAAAATCTGGCATTATCATATGAGCAAGAAAATGATTCCCCCGACTTTCATATTCAAAGAAGCAAACTTGGAGCGATTAAAAGGCCCCCAAGAAGCATTTTTCCAAGGAAGAACTTACTTTTTTAGCCAATTCACTTCTTCAATCATATCTTCTCCCCCCCACCCCCCCTGTTTTTACTGGCATTTTGCATCAAAACAATGAGCAACCTACTTTATTCGGACACTCCATTTCACCAAAGGTACCTAAGTCAGATATTCAAAATCTCGATATGCTGTGGAATGTGGTAGCAAACTTGGAGCGATTAAAAGGCCCCCAAGAAGCATTTTTCCAAGGAAGAACTTACTTTTTTAGCCAATTCACTTCTTCAATCATATCTTCTCCCCCCCACCCCCCCTGTTTTTACTGGCATTTTGCATCAAAACAATGAGCAACCTACTTTATTCGGACACTCCATTTCACCAAAGGTACCTAAGTCAGATATTCAAAATCTCGATATGCTGTGGAATGTGGTAGCCCCCCCCCCCCTCTTTTTTTTCCCCTTAAATTTGGCCAGTGTGAAAAGTCCTCTTACAATTAACAACACACAACGTCAACACTCTTAACAGCATTTTAGCCTGTTTTATCTGTAACTATTACTGCTAGGGAAGAAGTCACAAACCGGTTTAATATCACCATTCCACGTCACGTGTACAGCCAAAAATCCAATGACGGCTGGTACAATGTAAAGAAGTGCAGGCTGAAAGGAAAATTAAGATTATTAGAAAACTTAATGTAACCTGGCTAATTCTGCTTTATAATACACAAGAAAGATTGGAAAAATTAAGTCCACAAGGAACCAATAGGAAGGTAAGTAAACAGTTGCGATGGCAAGGAAGAAGAAAGATGCACCTGTGCAGCTTGAAACCAATTCATCACAACAATTGTAAGGATCATGCCAGCTGCATACCCGACAAAAGCACTCTTGAAGTATTGGCTTTCTTTCCCTCTCGAAACATCAAATCGTAATGCCAGCGCCACAAAGATGCCTAAAGAAGTCACAAACCAAAATCAAATCATTAATTATAGGGAAACGCCTTTGTTCATATTACACTACAAAATGTCATTTTCTAAAAATGTGCAGGAACTCATGAAACCACGCAAAAACCCAACACCCCCCCCCCCCCCACAGCCCAAAGGAATATGCATCCATAGTAAAAATGCCTTTCCACATCCAGTCTCCAGTAGTAGGAAACTAGGAAAACTTCAAATATGGTCAGATAACCCATTTAACAGCAAAACACAAAACACAAGGGAGCATAAAGTGATCAGTCTCCCAGCAACAGCCTCCATATGAAAGCAGTATAGTCATGCAAACTTCATCACAGCAATAAATAAGAAAGCAAGGTTTATTGGTCAGATTAGGAGAAAGGACAGCTGAGAAAAGGAATGAAGAAAGAAAGTGCAGGGTCCATGGCTGTATGGTACTAATAAACTACACCACACAAATACCGACTACGCAGACCTAAAATACCCTCTATTAGTGCCTAGCTTTCCTGGGCCAAAGTCAGATCTCAAGCAAACTACAGAGATTAAAAGATGCCAGCCCACAAGTTAATCTTCACAGCTACACAAACTCCACATATATTCCACAATGCCACCTACATTAATTGTAAAATCGAACCCTATACTTTGCAGACTAAGTCGCTAACACAGACTTTGCAAGAAACAGGAAACATTAATAATTACAAATCACTAAAAGAATCTAAACAATAAATTTTCCTACTCTCACCAGGGATAACAATATCTCCTAGTCCCAACATGGAATATGGTCTCGCTGCATCTGCTGTGGGAAACAAAAGCTGCAAAGTAAATGAACCATTAACAACAATAGAGAAAGCATACATCATGTAATTCAAAGCAATACACAAATTAAGGCACTGGCTAAGAACTTACCTTGATAGGTGCATCAAAGGACTTGGCTACACTAACCATAACTGGAGTAAAGAACACCCAGAAGATATCATATAGAAAAAGTCCACCCTGTAGATTACCAATAGTTATAAAAAAATGTAAGCTGAAGAAAGGATGAAATTTACAAAAGCCAGAACAGATGCCAACGTTCAAAAAACCACAAATCAATAAAAACTATCCACTCCAATGAAAACCATGCACACAAAGACTATTCTTTAAACATTAAAAGTAGAACTTGTTACAAAGAGTAATTTGAAGGATCTAAAGAGAAGAAGAAACTCTTGAACGAATTCAGGAAACATTAAGAACATGCAATTTACAAAAGCACATACAATATGAGAAGCACAGCATGGTCATTATCATATTGGTGTACTTACTAATATCATAATCATCTTTGGGAGTTCAGGCAAAAGATGTTTAAAAGAACAAAAGACAAAAGTGCTGCCTCCAATTCTACACTAAGTTATATTTCTTCCTGCTGCACTTGTTATTCTCTCGTCAATTACTTTCCCTACATTCCTATCCAAGACTGAAATCAATTTTTTGTAGTATGATCATGATGTTCAGACCTTCTATATGTTACATAAAGAATTTTCCAAGTCTCAAGTAAATCATTGAAAAATAGGCCAGGAGTCCCAATAACTAGCAATCAGCTACCTTAATTTATTGATGTCTATAAAGACAAGCAAATAAAATGTTTTATATGCACAATATTGTGCAAGGCAGGCAAGAATTTGGACAGACAGGTTCAAAAACAAATAACTAACAAAGTCACTCAAGGTATAGGATGACTTTAATCACAAGTACACAAATTCATTGACACCTGCTAAGCATATAGAGAAGCCCAGAGAAAATCAAGCAATACTTGAGCATTTACAAACTCAACATATTCTTGGTCAGAAGTAACATGTTGGCCAAGTACAGAAAGCCAAAAATTTAACAGTTACCAAGAGAATGGCACCAGTCTTGAAAGAGCCAAGTGAAAGCATTTCGATTCCCTGAATGTTAAGGGGGGGAAATAGTTAAAATCTACAAAAGGAAAGGGCTAACTAATAATAAGGGACTGAGTGGGCAAAATCAATAAAGTTAACACTCTAATGAGCCTAACAGTCAAACCTGAATGCAGAATGCCAGGCCCAAGATATTGTTGGCAAGCCAATGCTTCTTTGCAGCATACCAGACACAAAAGAAGAATCCAGGAATTGCAGCAACTACTTGAGACTTTGTGAACTCAATCTCCAAAGCTGTGGGGCCAAACAAAAAGCATCATTGTAAATACTACAACCAACCACACATGAAAACCTCATTTTAGGTAAGGTTAACCAATAATCTACTTCATCAAGCAATACAGCAGTATGTGAGGACACAAACACACAGAGGGAGATAATTTGACATTTGAAAAAAGAGCACACAAAATGGCTGTGCAGGAACGGGGACGTATTGTTAAAATCCAATATAGTGGAAATAGAAATCTTACAACATAAATGAACTACGGCGAGAACTTTTCCCATTTCCTTGGAGTAACTCATAACAATTCTTAGTCATTCGACACATTATTGAGGGTCATCCAAATATAAGACACATATTAGTAGGAAATATAAATAATAAAATAGATTAAATATACTCCTAGCTATATGGAAGAAGAAATAAATATTAACTCAAACCAGCACCCACCAAAAACTGTTCATCATGTCCTTTTTTTTCTTCCAAGCAAAACCATAACAAAAATTGAAGCGATACCCAGATACGGAGTAAAAAAAATTCGTATAAAATTATAAGCCTCGTCCATAATACCACAGTGGCAGATTAAAGAAACAATCACATAACAATAATTAAAAACCAGCAGCAAACCAAAGAAATAATAATGATAATGTCAAAAGCTTCAAAAGGACTAAAGGGCAAGTAACATACAGCGGAAGTAAGGGAAGCGCCAGACAATAACATTTTCATTCCAGTGCTTTGGAAGGAAACGCTTTATTGCAGGTAACAATGTTGCACTGTAAAGGACAACAACACATAACAGAGCAAAAATAAGTTTAAACTAAGGGATAACCATCGACAATACATTTGGAAGATATTGTAGCAATAGGGTACACCATATGGTGAATACTTACGAAAAAGCTAATATTCCAAGAAGAAAGAAATAGCAAGTTAGCACGGCATTGACCAAGTCCTTTGAAAAGAATTTGAAAAGTAAAAACAGAGATAACAGCATGGCACTCCCAACCAATGGAAATCTCATAGCATGTTCATTGGACATAGTCTCCTGTATTACACAGACAATCATATAAACAAATAAGCAACTTATAAGGTAATAGCCGCCTCCACTATCTGCATGTAGAAAACATTCATTGTATAGCAGCATTGCATATAATTCAGTACTTACAGTTGGTGGTGTGTCCTTGACTGACCGGTAACAGCCAACAAATACAGCAAGACAAGCTGTTAATACCACGTTTACATTTGGATTCACCTTCACAACAAGTGGTGCCAAAGATAAGCCTGAAAGACCAGCAAACCCATTGAATCATACAATTTTCTATTTCCTCTAGTAAAAAAAAGGGTGTTAAAACACAAATCAGAGCATCAAGGAATTGCAAAAGAGTAACTAGATACTAATTACAAAATAATATGAACTCAAATCTCAAGAGCATCCCTTTCAATCGCACCAACCCCCGTCATGCTACCACAATCACATCTAATATCAACACCAACTAAAAACCAACTTGCTCGAATATAACCATGACAGTTACAAGAAAAAGTCAGTCATAAGCTCTACACAATTAGCCTACTAAACAATTCAGCAACCTGGCATAGCAATCTGCTACTAATACCATACTATTTCAGCAACATTTTTATGTAAAAGCATGGAGGAGTAAGTTTATCCCACCCTGCCCTAGTCCACGCCCCCGCCCCACGAACCAATATTGTATGCTCACCAACCCCGAGGCCAGTTTCATTTATAATTTAACTATCAATTCAGAGTGCTAACTACAGTATCCAGCCTTCTTTTATCCTAAAATTGTCATATATCAACATCATATGCATGCCATCCAACATACCAATTTCAATTAAAAACTTATCAAATGTCACTAATCAAGCCATTTCATATTCATGACCAAATTAAGTCAAGATAAAAAATAAATAAAAAGATACTAACTTTATTATACATTTAAAAAATTAAGCATGAACAATAACTCAAATTATATCATAACAATCACAGAAACAAAATCACAAACCTGCAAGGGCCAGATTCGCTAAACGTTCAAGGTTCTTCATTACTCCTCCAAAATTCAACACTTAATTCAGCTTAAATTTCCCAAATTCAACGACCAAAATCCCGCAATTCAAAATTACTTCCTATTCTACAAAATTACACCTGCAAATCAAACAATCGAAACCAATCAACACCCAATTAAATAAAAAAAATTACCCAATTTTTAACCAAAAATCCAGACAAAGAAATACCTTTGGAGAAGTAATTAGATCTGATAATTAATTTTCCCAACCTATCTCTTCCCCAAATCAAATCAAAATCGCGGATCGAAGAACTTGAGAGAGACAAAAAAGGGGGAAGAGGAGAGAGAAAATTAGAAAAATTGAAGAACTAATTAAGATGATGTGTTTTATAATTTTCCAGATTGCTAAATTGAGATCAAATCTAAAAAATAAAGTTTGGAAATTAAATTAGGGTTTTAACTAATTGGGGGAATTTTTTTTTTTTATGTAATTTAACCGTTAGTTTTGGGGTGATAAATTTGATAGAAGACATGTAGTTTCACTTAAATTGGGTGACAGACGAATCAGTGTTGAAGAGGTTATGACGTGGCGGTTTTTTATTGGCTGTGAAATGTTTGGTTTGAGGTTTTGTCTGTAAGGTTAGATTATTTTGTAGCGGGTAAAATATGTTGGAAAATCTTTATTCCACGTCAGTAATTTACGTGTTGATGAAGTGGCGAGACCAATCAAAGAATGCCATGTCAGATTTTAAAAATATCTCACTAGTTTTTGGATTTGTTTTTTTAAGAGAGAAAATTAGGGCAAAACGACATTGTGATGTTAGAATTTAGAAGTGTTGAAGGTTGACTTTGTTAATACTAACCATTACAATTAAGAGAGTATTTCACTTAAAAAGCTCGTTTTTCATAAACTTATTCCATTAAATAAGCTCTTTCTATTAGTTTATTCAGCATTTTATATAGTGAAATTACACTTATATTCTGATTTAATCAAAACCCCACAATTGATCATTTTGCAAACTTAACAAACTATAAGCAATCAATTGTTTACCGAATACTTTTATATAATTAGTTAGCTAAATTAGTTAATACGACCATCTAGTCAAAATCAATTGACACCATCATATTCAACTTTCAACTTTTCACCAAACACGACATTAGTCTTACACCTTAATATTATATTGATGAATTGAAAATATTTTTATCGAGCTAAACTTATTTTTACTAAAATTTGTTTTACTAACCTTAAATTTAATGATTAAAACTTATTCAACGGATTCTTTGTTATATTTGTTCACTAGAGTTATTTTTTTTACGAAACTAAACTTATTTTTACTTATTATTACTCTCTTTGTCCCTATTTTATTTTAGTTTTTCCTGATTTTACTATTCATGGTCTTCAAGACGCAATATCTCCATTTCCATATGCGTAAAGGAAATATAAAATTGGTTTTAATAAAACATACAATTAGACAAATTCAATAACATCTCACATGACTGCATCATTTATTGTAGATTAATGATAATTTATAGTCAAAGAATTCAAAATTCGACCCAAAATTTAGTAATTGGGCAAAATCATTGGGATAAATGGAGTAATTGAATACGGTGAAGTGAACAAGGTCGAAGTATTAATTTCCATTTGCCATTTTATTGCATTGAATGAATTCTTCATTTGGTAACACAGGTGAACCGTGAACATATACTATGATTTGTTTATCCATATTGACGAAATTTGACTAAAGCAGTTGATTTTTTTCCCCCTCTTAAGCATAAATAATGAGATACATGTTCGACATTTCAAGTGGACCTACTCACCTCTTAATTACTTCGTATTAAAAGTGTTCAAAATACCATTATAAAAAAAAAAAATCGTGCATGTTGTCTATACAAAATTCGAACATACAACCTTAATTTTGTACAAGTAGTCATGAATTCCAGGTAAAATACAAGTATTGAGTACTACTCCGTACATACTAGCAATCATTTTTCATGTAATAACCAAAAGTGTCCAAACCCAAGCTAACTAACTTAACTGATGAGATTCAAATTTCGACTAAACTACACTCGACCCGACTAGACCGAACCGAACTGAACCGAACCAAACCTTTCAACACGTTTAGATTACTCCTACAGTCCTACTGATGTTTTTTTGTTTTCTGGGAAATATCATTCACTCCTCCATAACCTCTCCAATTTCCTTCTATGTCGCGCTTCACAGGCAGCTTGGCGGTTCAACGCCTAATCTTTCACCAAACAACTCTTCGATTTCACAAATCTCTCTACTCAAATTCATCCCCAATTTCTCAGCAACCCATTTCACCAAATTCAGTACCATCTTCTCTAACGGTCGACAAAATCCTGTTGAATTTGAAGCTTGGTAAGTCCACTCACTTTCATAACTATCGCACATTAACCCCTTTTGATATTGCTCAAATTCTGTATCAATGTCGTGAAAATCTGCATCTGGGTTTGAAGTTTATTGATTCTTTCTTGTTTAATTGCCCTAATTTTCGACATTCCACGCTTTCTTTGTGTGTTATGGTTCATATGTTGGTTAGGGGTAGGAGGGCATCAGATGCTCAAGCTTTGATTCTTAGAATGGTTAGAAAAAGTGGGGTTTCGAGGGTAGAAATTGTTGATTCTTTAATGGGGAGTTATGATCAATGCGGTTCGAATTCGGGTGTTTTTGATTTGTTGGTTAGGACTTTTGTGCAAGCCAAGAGGTTGAGGGAGGCTGCTGAGGTGTTCAAATTGTTGATTAGTCGAGGGGTTTTAGTGTCGATTAATGCTTGTAATAGTCTTCTTGGTGGGTTAGTGAAGGTTGGGTGGGTTGATTTAGCATGGGAGATATACCGAGAAAATGTTAAATATGGAGCTCAGTTGAATGTTTATACATTGAATATAATGATCAATGCTTTGTGTAAGGATGGTAAGATGGGGAATGTGAATTCCTATTTACTAGAAATGGAGGCCAAGGGGGTGTTTCCTGATAATGTTACTTATAACACTTTGATTAATGCATATTGTAGGGATGGGAATGTCGAAAAGGCTATTGAAATGATGAATTCGATGTCGAGTAAGGGCTTGAGAGCTGGGGTGATTACCTACAATTCAATATTAAAAGGGTTATGTACAATGGGAGGGTATAGTAGGGCTAGGCAGATGTTGAGTAATATGAGGCAAACGGGATTGTGTCCTGATACTAATAGTTACAATGCATTGTTGATTGAGTGTAGCAAGAAAGATAATGTTGTGGATGGGGAACAATTATTTGATGAAATGATACACCATGGTGTGGTTCCTGATGTAATTAGTTATACGTCACTTATTAGTTTGTTTTCGAAAAAAGGGCAACTTGATCAAGCCTTGATTTATTTTAAAGAGATGAAGGACAAGGGGCTGGCTCCAGACAGTGTTTTATACACCATTCTTATTGGTGGGTTTTGTAAATCAGGTGTTATGTCTGAGGCGTTAAGGATGCGTAGTGAGATGCTTGAAAGTGGTTGTCTTATGGATGTGGTGACATACAACACCATTCTGAATGGCTTGTGTAAAGAAGATATGCTTGGTGAGGCTGATCAATTATTTGATGAGATGTTGCAAAGGGGTATATCCCCTGATTTTTACACATATACAACACTTATTCATGGTTATTGTAAGGCTAGGGACATGGACAAAGCAGTGGTATTGTTTGAAACTATGATTCAGAGGAACCTTAAACCAGATATTGTAACGTATAACATCTTGATGGATGGTTTTTGTAAGCAGGGTTTCATGGAAAAAGCTAATGAAAAATGGGCTGACATGGTTCATCGAGGAATTTACCCTAATCACATTTCCTATAGTATTTTCATTAATGGATTTTGTAGTGTGGGGCGTCTTAATATGGCATTTAAGCTTTGGGATGAGATGGTTAAAAAAGGTATTGAGCCAACTATTGTGACCTGTAATACCATCATTAAAGGCTATTGCATATCTGGAGATGTAGCTGAGGCAGAAAAGTTCCTGGCTAAGATGACAGCAAAGAGCATTCTTCCTGATAATTTTACTTACAACACTCTTATACAAGGATATATCAAAGAAGAGATGATGGACAGAGCTTTTGTCTTGTTTAATCAAATGGAGTATCAGGGGATATTACCTGATGTCATATCATATAATGTGATATTAGATGGTTTTTGTAGACAATCTAGAATGGAAGAGGCAAACTTGATATACAAGAAGATGATAGAAAGAGATGTAAATCCAGACAGATCTACTTATACAATGTTGATTAATGGTTATGTTAGTCAGGATAACCTGAAAGAGGCCTTCAGGGTCCATGATGAAATGCTTCGAAGGGGCTTTGTGCCAGATGATAAATTCTGATGCACTTGTCAGGGAATTGAATAAGTTGGACAGATCACAGATCATCACCTCTCTGGTTTGGCTGTATGGAATGCAAATGAAACCTGATAATACTTTTATAAGGTAGCTTGATTATATCTTTTTTTGGCCTGCAATAGTGTTCCTGCTTTGATTGCAAGTTACAACACTCCATTTTTTGGATAAGTTGTCTTCCAGCTCTTAATGTTGCTATATTTTTCACTCATGCATTGTGGTGAACTTACACACCGTTTGTGTTTGCTTGTTTCCACTTTCCAGGATCAATTTGCGAAACTGCACTTAGGAATTGCAGGTTGCTAAACTACTAGGAACTTCTTGTTCTAAGTTATAAAGTCTGGAAAAGAGGTATATGATTTGCTGCTTGTCTTATGCTGCTAGTATTTCTGACTTTTTGCATTATAGAGTTATAACATATGCACTATTTTCGTGTTGAACTGTTGTTTGTACTGTTTGTACCATCAGTTTGATATTTTCCTTTACTGTTTCTATAGGTATGTCACAAGGGCTAATTGCTATGAAGGTGAATCTCAGGTTCATGCCTCTGTGAGCAAGTATGAAGTATTCTGCAGTTTTTATATATTTATGGTACTTCCTTCTTAACTAATTCCTACGTAGAGAGATATGGCATGAATGTTAAAGAGAGGAGAGAGAAAGGTATAAACATATAATAGAATACTTAATCCAATATGTTAATACTTAATCTCGTTTACCCAATATGCTAATACTATCCCGGTATCCCTCAATGCCAGGTATTAACATAATGGGTCAACGAGGGTGTGCATGCCTGGTGGCACGTATACCAGCTGATCCATAGCTATTTGGTCTGTTTTTACTGCTGATTGGAAAAAATCTAGTCTTTTTCGCAGGCTTGGGATCTTATATTGTTATTGACTGTCCATCTATGTTCAAATTTCAGGGGTTAATAATGGAAGTCGTGTGGTTGGCAATTTTTTTGTAAAATTTCTATTTATGACTCGGCCTCCATCCAATTCACAAGCGTCAGCTAACGAATAGCATGTCTAGTTTTTTACGTGCATTGCAAAGCAAGTTGAGAAGTTTACTCCATTATTTCAAATGGTGAGTACTTTATAAGTATCAAATTATATTTATAGCCAAGTAGGTTGTTTCTTTTGGCCTTGGTCTAAATTTTCAGCAGATTTTGGACCTATTCATTATTTGATTATTCACGTTGATGTAATACAAACTCTAATCTTAGTTACTGACTAATTGTGACTATGATGCTTCATCCTATACATTCTCAACATGCATTTGATTGTCGTTTGCCCGTTCATCTAAACAAAAAGTCTTGTACTTATCCTACTAAACAAGTTTTCTGATGTGACTTTGATTAGGTCATGACTCATGAGCTGCTTATAATCTGCTCCCTTTATTTTCCATATCATGTCATCAAACTAATCATAAAGCTGTTTCATTTTTCATAATTTTGACCGCCGATTTTCAATTTATTGTGAAGTTAGTTGGAAATTGGTTAAACTAATTCTGCAGAAACACTGATGCAGTTTTCGTTACTTTAGGCAGAAACACAGACTATATTACTCATTTTGCTCTAGATTTCGATTTACAACTTCTTGTGAAATCTGGAATCCTCCTAAGTCTTATGTAATCTTGACCCTTTGCATTGCAACCTGCAGGCGGATGATATTCGAGACCTCAAGTTGGGTTGTGATTTCCCTTAAGGTGACAAACAAAATTATGCCGGCTAAGATTGCTTTCTTAATCTTTGTCCCCAAATTTAACATATTTCAGAGTCTAGCGTTGTAGCGCATTGCACATGTACTATTGTATATAGTTTTGTATTTGATACTCCTTTCGCCTGGAATTAATTGTGATGATAGTTTAGACTATTACACGATTTTACTTGAAGACTCGACATAATATTAAATTGCTCCTACAGTTTCCTACTCGTACTATATTAGGACATTTTCGAACATTGTAAAATAGTGCATGTGACTATTAAGGTATTATTCTATTGCATATTTGTGTCTAAACCGAGTGGGATGATGTAAATCTAAAACTATCACACATTCATACTAGTTGCCAATACTATCCGCCAATAAACTTTATAGGAATTTTTTTCCCTTTTATTTTCTTCTTATAAAATTAATTTATACCTCATTTTTGGCGTGTCTTAAATCTCTAAATCTTTGTTAATTGAACATTTACGAATAAAATGTCAATTGAGTGTGAGGTTGGGGGTGTTGTTTGATGGATTCTCCTAACCGTTATGTGAAATTTTGACTCTAATAATTGTGTTTTTGTTTCGCACACAATTAATACTTTTCTATTATATCACAAACGTACATTTTAGTACGTTTATATATTATTATAATAAATATTAATATGTTTATTATTTTATAGTCGTAATTGTTTTGTTTAAAACTCCGTGGTATTTACGAGAGTTTACTTATTCTTGTAGATTTATGAAATCCATTTAATTTAAATATATAAATAATAATTAGACATCATGATGATATTATAATGATGATAATGTTAGAAATGGCTTTGTTGGTTTGGATTATACTCAAAGTAGGTGGTATGCATACGCTATGCTCACCCACTAATCTAACACTTTCTTTTTTTTTATACGTATTTTCATTACATCACTTGTAAGTCGCATGAAAGGAGAAAAATATTATAAGACTTTTTTTAAAATAATAATAATAATAATAATAATAATAATAATAATAATAATAAATTATTTTATTTTATTTAATGCTAGAAAAATGTTGTAGTACTCGTAGTTGTTATTGATGTGTATTTTTTGCAAGCAAATAGTTTAAGAACATAAATTTTTCATAACGCGTGGAATAAATGTGAGTTGTTTGTTATGGTTATTGAAAGAATAAACAAATGGGCAACAAATTATATAGGGTGTTGAAAGAATAATAATTCTTGCATTAGGCATTACATTAATCAACACCCAATGTGTTTGAAATTAATCATCTCATTAATTAATTGTCTAAAATATAGACTATAAGTTATAACCTAAAATAATTTCAAACTAATAACCAAGTAAAGATTAGACTATAGAATCCACTTAAATCTGTAAAGATGAACTGAGTTGACCTGTGAAGAATGTCGATTCATCAGGGTTCTTTTTCTTACCGGCCAAGCTATGATAATAATCGTGAGCGGATTTGGATCAGAGTAAAGGTCCAATACAATGTGTCATGGTCGAATCAATAACGGCCTGCAATCAAGCACCTAATTTTGCAGATAACCATGATGAGAAGAAGAGGAGGGTTGTGCATGTGAATGAATTAATTGAATTGAACATACAATCCGAAAATGACATTGTTTTTGACCAAAAAAACATAATGATATCAATACTATTTTACATTTATTTATATGTTTTAAGTTTCACCAATTCAATTGAAATTGTAACACATTTTGGCCCGACCATTAATAATGGCAAAGAGGAGGCGCATGAATAAAGCTTCATCACTTTCCCAAGTATCTTGTGCATCTACATACATATTACATAGTGGGCTGCTTGTGCTTCAGTCTACTAAGGGATGCAGTCAAACTGCCCGTGGTTAATCTTTTGTTACTTTTGATCATTGTTTTCTAAGAGCGTCGTGATAAGTCTAATAACTTCATCTCAGAGATGGGCAAAATCATTCAATATCGGATTTTTATCTTCCAATTTTATACAGTAGTCATAAATCATAATCATGATAGAGAATATACACATAATGCATGTTCTCTTGTACGTTTAAGATATTATTTTACGTAAATACAAAATATGTTTCTTTGTTGTTATAAGTTATGACAAGTCCCTAGCACAAAATTATCGTTATAATAACTCATATTAGATCAAGGAGTTCCACATAATCGAACATGCAAACTATATATATATATATATATATATATATATATATATATATATATTTATTTATTTATTTTTTTTTATAAAAATGTCCATAATTTTTTAGGTGATTGTTTGACAATCAATTATTTGTAAGTGGGGTGAATGAAGTAGTGGGGTGTGATGATTATGGTCAACTCTAAGTATCTGGGGTGGTGGGTAAGTAAACTAATTACAGGCAAGTTTATTTTCAACAACAACTGATCATATGAAATTATGGAACATGATTGGTAAAGTATTCAACTAACTATTTTGGTAATACTTGGTAGTCTATATTCATCATTTTCGAATTACCATTTGGATTATCAACTACTCCCTTCGTCCCTAAATTACATTCCTCTTTCTCTCTATATATGAGGAATAAATGCTAGAAAGAGAAATGTAATTTAGGGACGGAAGGAGTAACACTTTTTTTAAAAAATATTGTTGTATAAAAATTTTCATAATATTTATTACCAGGAGCTAGTGCTAGTAATTATTGAGTGGATGTGAAAGAAAATCATTAGAACTGTCTTATAGTTATTATTTTTTTTTACTTGCAAGTTGTAATGCCATCAATAAAGATATTTGAATTGCATATGAACTGAATCATGTCATTTTAATTCATGATTTTCAATTGTGTCACTTTATCATTAACATCAAATAACCTTTCATACAACAACACACTTATCAATAATAATCAGTGGATTCATTGATGTTAGTTTTTTTGAAAATTCATTATTAATTCGACAATTTGTACCTTTTTTTTTAATAATTATTAGTCTGTTACAAACTACTCCGTATTTGGATTATAACTTTTATAATTCTATACATCCGTCATCCATTTTAATACTTTTTAAAAAATTATCTTGTTACCGTATATATAATTGTACTTATTAATTTATCTAGATATTAATAATTACTTGGAAATTTTGTAGGGAAAAAAGGTTAAGGAAAGCATCCCTACACAATTATTACTAAGATACCAATGAATAATGATTGAAACGTGACACTTAGTGGCTCTTAATTTAAAGAAAGGAGAGTCAAGATTTTCCAAAATTATTGGTAATATTGACTCACTTGATGAAACAAGAATCGTTGACCTTTTTAAAAATTTTGGACACTAGCTTGTAATGGCACCTCAACTAGACTGTGTAACCTATAAGTCAAATAATGTATTCAATGAATTTTAATTTTAAGAACCTAATTAATCTTATTTCACGTGACAATGGAGTAATAAATAAAAAGAACATGTAAAGACTAAAGAGTACAACTTGATATTCAAGGTATTCAAAATTCTGATTATTTAGTTTTGAGTTGCATTAGTATTCAAATAAGGTATATTTGTTGTTTCATTCACGGTATTCAAGCTTTTAGACAATTACTAGTAGTTGAATTGGATAACTCGATCCTTTACCTAAGCAAACAATGTTAAATTATTACTCTCGTCAAAAAGCTATTATAACATGAATTATATATAAGTTAGAAAGTTGATCCCAAGCCAATACAATCAAACATTCTAAAGCAAGTGTTAAAAAATAATAATTATGAAACCATTTAAATTAGTCTTATCTTTTAATTGCCTATGTCCTTCATTCACTAAAGGGACAAAACATTGGCATCTCATACACTCATGCGTGATTGCTTACAAATTAATAAATTAATCCAACATTAGTATCTAATTATCTATTTCAAAAGTTGAGATTTAATTAACCCCCTAATCATGTAGTACCTCTACATGATTAGCTGTCGATTTTTTCGCTCCCGAAACAAGCAACTAAGCACATGACAAATAGCACAATTAATAATTAATTAAGATGACTTTAGTCGCTCAATTAATTGACTATACTAAACCAATTAATCATAATCATACATATCCAACTTCCTTGATAGCTACAACATCAATGACCAGTCCACACACAATCATTTTCATATTATCGATTGATTATCTAATCTGATCTAATCTGAATTAATTTACGACCAATCCCTTTCAAAATAATAGTGATAGTGCATGCAACTTATAACTCTTCAAAGCCGGCATAGCTGACCACCGTCCCTTTTTTAATCCCAAAATTAACCTCATTTATATATACTAAAAACAAATCTAGACTTTTTCCTACCAAATACTATACAATAATATTAAATTAATATGTCCCACTTTAATAATTAAAATTAAATTAAACTTTATGACTTTTTCTAAAGTCAAACTTATGTAATATATATACCCACCTCTATATATATATATTATCTTGTCTTGTGCTTCTTCTTCATCCCCCCAAATATTGCCTAATCTCATACCATCTCTTAAAAAAAATGGTTAATTTAGAAATATTAACCAAATTTAATCCAACAATATCATGTTTTAGAGGAGCTTCATTGTTATTATTATGTACAAATCCAAGAATAAAGCTTATATTATGTGAAGGTAACACAAAAGTATTAAAAGGGCGTACAAAAATCAAAGCAGGAGAGATCATGTTTGAGTTTCCGGATTGTGTTGTGTGTCACGCAGACTCCTTCATTCTAGGTCGTCCGATCCCAGTCCTAGCCATCCACGACTACCTCGTGGCTGGCCGTACATACTTTGTCCTCCCCCTTGACCGCCTTCCTCGTGGTGGACCACCCCTCTCCGCGGCCTCCTTGCAGTCCCTCTCAACACCTTCTCCTAACAACAACGGTAACAATAACAATATTATTAGTAGTTGCCCTAGTAATAAAAGTAACAATAATAGTTATTGTAAGTTGTTTAGTGGTGGTAATGACAATGGTAATAAAAGTCCTTTTGAGTATATTAAGGATAAAGATGGTAGAGTACTTATGATTAAGGTTGTACCTGAGTTTATTACTAGGATTATTACTGCTAATAATAATAATAATAATAATAATAGTCCATCTAATAGTCCTAATAATACACTTATATGTACAACACCGGAGTTGCAAAAACAATATGAACAACTTGTTAGGGCTAAAGATCAAGGATGGTCTCCAAAACTCGAAACGATTTCCGAGCACAAGATGAGAGCTTCTCCTACTTCTAAGTTATTGAGATTGGAATGGATACAAATCAAGCTAAAATAATGAAAAAATGTATTTATAGTTTTCTTTAAAAAAAAATTAGCACATAAGTAGTTTTTTTTTTAGAAAGGTTTTAATTTTAGGGTAGCTTTTTGGTTGGTGATCTAGAGTGATCAATATTTTTTTATTATGTGATTATGTATATGATGCTAATTTAATGAAAAGTTTAGCATGCATCATGATATATGGTTTATTTTGGTTAATGTTGTACATATAAATTATACCTAACTCTTTATTTATTTTTTATTTTTTATATGAAAAAATGTTTATATATTGTTTTTGGATGAATATAGAGTGATATTGAATATATATATCGTATGTTGATCCGATCTTACATGTAGTTTAATTAGTATGAATTAATCATGTGATCACTTATTAATCACCTGCATTATGCCATCGTAACACTACACTATCTACTAATCTACTATCTAGTAGTAGTGTTGTTCTCTCAAAAGTAATTAAAGCATGTAATACCTCCGGTTCATATTATATGCAACTTTGATGTATTATTTCTGAGATATAAAAATTTCAAAGTTGCTATAACTGGTATGTATAAGCTAGGTAATGCAATGTCAGTAAAGTTTTAGGCAAAGCTAGAACTTTTTTTAAGCATACTCGAGCGGCGTAGCGACATCGATCTCTTTCAATTCATTGTTTAGTTTGAATTGATCATTCAGAACGAACCCATACATTATACACAAATTTTTATATGTGGTTTGCCATATATACCATGTGGCCGAGGTTACTTATTCTGAAGTTACATTACAGTGTGGTCTGACCACTTGGATAAGTAACCTCTGACCGACTGAGTAAACCCTAAATAAGTAATCCCTGAGCGATTGAGTAAACCCTGAATAAGTAACCCCTAGAAAAAACCCCACCGAACATAAAAAAAATCTAAAGAAGTGTTTTATTAGTCTTGAGGGTAGTTAATGAACGTGTTGCATATGCCCATTAGGGTGTTCTAATTCTAATGGTAAGATTTATGAGTTCGTTTTGATTATGTGTTGTTACAGTTATTATTAATGCTGTTTCTTCTTGATGACGACGATAACGATAATAGTAGTTGTAGACTTGTGGTAGTATGTTAGAAACTTCATAATGTTCCAGCTGATTCAAAACTATATGTAGATCGATCGTTTTAATTAAAATAAAATTAAGTTTAGTCAATTGTAGTTGAACTAAACACACTTTTATCATAAAGTAGCCTTTAAATTAGTTGCAACATTCAAAATATCACAAGTTTTTTCTAATCTTAGAGAATAATTGTAATTTGAGGAAAAACTACAAGTTTTGCCATGATGAACTACTCTCTCTGACTATTATATGTTGTCAAGATTGACATAGTAATCATATGCTTTACTTTTTATACCCTAAAACCTAGTTTGTAGTTTTTAATTATTTATTTCCAATAATATCACATGTATCTTGCAAATCTAATATATATATATATAAAAGGGAGTTTTTCCCCGAGTTTTTAGAGAGCCGCGTAGGATTTAATTTTTTTAGCGCGCCACGTAGGATTATAAATTTAAGTTGTAACCAATTAAATAAGAGATTATTAATTTATTTTACAATTAAATAATTCAAATGCCACGTAAGCAAAATTGACGAATGAGATTTTAAAGTTTAAATTAATTAAATACAAAATATTTTCTTTTGAGATTAGGAATTTTATTCTAATATTTTTAAACTAATATAATAACAATTTTAATAACATAAATATGAAAAATATTTTTTTTTTTTTAAAATGCTAACAAACCGTGCATCGCACGGGCTTCATCTAGTGAATACTAATTTTAATTCAATTTATTTGAAGTTTCATAACTTTTGGACATGGGTGAAAGATTGACCGGATATTTCATAAGAAATTTGGATATAATGAGGTGGATAAAGTACAAGAATGATTGTAATAGTCTTCTCGAACTATGCTTCTCTAAAGGGTTGAAACCATGAAATTTGTTCTACTACCTCCGTTACAGGTTATGTGCAACGATTAGACATTTCTCTCTCTGCTTTATGTCAAATCGTAGAACATAACTTGTAACAGAGGTAGTATTTGTATTGACGAAATGTCTTAAGCCTCCAAGGGCTCTAATCGTACATACGTAGTATATAATATCCCGTTCATGTCATATAAGTATATAACTAACCTGTGTTCTACGTAATTATATTATATAAGTATATAACTAACCCGTACATAGTATTTGCCAAATGCTTATATCAACATTAGTTATCATTTTTTAATACTTAAACTGTAAAACTATCTGTTAGATAATATGAAACTCCTCAGCTTGGAGTCGATTCCATTGATCTCAATATATAGGGTTACAAGTGTGAGTCCTAATCACGTTAGGAAATCTCAAAAGATAATTACACAAAATATACAAAATATATCCAACGATAACAGAATTTCTAGAATAATAATCCTATATTCTATCACACCCCCACAGTCGTAGCGGGAGGAGGACGTACGCTGAGACTGGACCTGAAATCCATAAATAGTTGTCGGGGTAGGCCTTTCGTGAAAATGTCTGCAAACTGATACCGAGAAGGAACGTGTAATACCCGTACATGCCCCAACGCCACCTTTTCCCGAACGAAATGAATGTCCATTTCGACGTGCTTGGTGCGTTGGTGTTGTACGGGGTTGTGAGATAAATAGATTGCACTGACATTGTCACAATAAACAAGAGTAGCCTGCCAGAGAGGACAATGTAGCTCTAAAAGAAGGTTGCGGAGCCAACATGCCTCAGAAACAACATTTGTGACGCCCCTGTATTCTGCCTCTGCACTTGATTTGGAGAGAGTATGCTGACGCTTAGATGACCAAGAAATAAGGTTGTCACCCAAAAAACAACAGTAACCGGAAGTGGAGCGACGAGTGTCTGGACACCCGCCCCAATCTGCGTCAGTATATGTAATCAAGTTTTTAGGAGCCGAAGGATATAAATGTAACCCATGATCAATGGTACCCTGAATGTATCGCAGAATTCACTTCAATGCATCATAATGAGCCACTCTGGGATCATGCATGAATAAACAGACCTGCTGAACTGCATAAGTTATATCAGGGCGAGTAAAAGTGAGGTACTGTAAGGCACCTGCAAGACTGCGATAGAGTGTTGGATCATGAAACTGGGGTCCAGCATCTGCACTTAGATTGGATTGAGTATCCACTGGAGTTTGTGCAGGTTTGCAACTGCTCATACCTGCACGTTCAAGAATTTCCTGTGCATATTTTTGCTGTGACAGAAACAAATATGAAGGTGTACGTGTAACAGCAATACCCAAAAAATAATTCAAAGGACCTAAGTCAGTCATCGGAAACCCGTTCGGTAGATGAGAAATAATATTCTCACGTAGTTTATCTGAGGAAGTAACCAACACAATATCGTCAACATATAGAAACAAATATGCCATATCATTCCCATGCCGGAAGATGAATAAAGAATTATCCATTTTAGCAATGACAAACCCCATCTGCAAAAGATAGTTAGCAAAACGCTGGTACCAAGCCCTTGGAGCTTGTTTGAGGCCATATAGAGCTTTGCGAAGTCTGCAAACATATCCTGGAAATCTCTTATCAACAAACCCAGGGGGTTGATGCATATACACACACTCATTCAATTCACCATGCAAAAAAGCATTTTTCACATCAAGTTGGTGAATAGACCACTTACGAGCCATAGCCAAGCTCAACACCGTTCGAATAGTGGCCGGCTTAACAACCGGACTAAACGTTTCATCACAATCAACACCTTCAATTTGAGACCTGCCATCACAAACTAAACGAGCTTTGTGTCTTTCAAGATCACCATTAGCTTTTAATTTATGACGAAATAGCCACATACAATTAACAATGTTCACCCCCGTAGGCCTTGGAACCAAATCCCATGTCCCTGTTTCAATTAAAGCACTATATTCATCATGCATCGCAGCATTCCAATTTGGGTCGGAAAGGGCTTGTTTGTGATTTTTAGGTAGTGGGGATCGAATGGTGGTAGATAAGCCATATTTGGGATTGGGTTTAATTATTCCGTGCTTAGACCTTGTTTGCATTTGAGGTGAAAGAGGCGGAGGAGTAGTCGGAATAATAGGTGTGTGGCCTCGAAGAGGTGGAGGTGTGTATGGGCGTGATGTGGGTGTTGGAGTGATTGGGTCAGTTGGTGAAATAAGGGTGTTGGGCTGATTTGAGTGAGGTGGGCTAGGAGGTGAGTGTGGGGCAGAAATGGGTTGTTGGGCCGCTGGATTTCCAGCGTGTGCTGGCTGACTGGGGCTGCCCAGTTGGGTTGCTGGCTGGCCCGCTGGATTTCCAGCGTGTGCTGGGTTTTGGAGGAGAGGCAGAGTGGACCGCAGCCCACTTGCGATATGTGGGGTTGTGCCGCAGCCCAACTGCAATGTGGGCTGTGTACGGGGTTTGTGATGTAAATGTTGCAACAATGGTGATGGATCATCAGAAGCTAGAAAATCATAATCATGAGATTGAAAACTAGAAATATTTGTAAAAGGAAATGTGTTTTCATCAAAAGTGACGCGGCGAGAGATTATAATTTTTCTAGTAGTAATATCCATACACCTATATCCCCTATGGTCAGAAGGATAGCCTAAAAAGACACATGGGGTGGATCGAGGGGCAAGCTTATGAGGCATGGTTGCCGATAAATTTGGGAAACAAAGACACCCAAAAACTCTAAGATGGATATAAGACGAAACAACCCCAAATAAAGCTTGAGACGGAGTAATGTGATTGAGAGTTTTGGTAGGTAGAATATTTAATAGATAAGTAGATGTCTCCAAGGCATAATGCCAAAAAGAAGGAGGAAGAGAGGCATGAAACAATAATGTACGCTTAACATTGTTAAGAGTTCAAATCATGCGCTCGGCTTTGCCATTTTGAGAAGAAGTGTGAGGACATGAGAAGCGAAAAACCATTCCATTTTTGACACAAAATAATTTGAACGGGTCGTTATCAAATTCACGACCATGATCACTTTGAAAGGATTTTATAGGGCGTTCAAATTGAGTTAGAACATATTGTCGAAAATTAAGAAAGGTTTGATAGGCTTGAGACTTATACATAAGAGGAATGGTCCACACATAATGAGTAAAATCATCCAAAAGCACTAAATAATATTTGTGACCCTTTTCACTACGGATAGGAGAAGTCCACAAATCAGCATGAA